CCTATTTATAATAGGATTTCTTCTCAATGTTTATTATAGCAATGAAATTATTTTTTAATAATCAATATTTTTTTTTATCATCCTTGATATATAGCCTATCATCTTAGTAAATGTTGTGAAATGCTCTTCTTATTTTTTGTACTTGTTTTACTTTTTTGTACACAACGCAGATATCAAAATAACTTGTAATTGAAATAGAGGAGTAAAATCACATTTTGAAAGACTTTTTGAATGAAAATAATTAGAATTTCCATAACGCACAAATGAAAACCAGGAAAACGCTTTTTACAAACTAATTGAACGCTAAGAAATAATAATGAGACTATGTCTCAGCAATTATTATCATTTTCCAATTTCTTGTGCTTTACATGAAATTTAATGTTTTGGGCAGCTCAGATTGCTCTCTAAAATGTTCTTTATTTTATTTATTTTATTTAATTTATTTATTTTTTGTAAGTACATAAATTGTGTTTTTTTTTTATTTCAAGAATTTGAATTTCAGAATGATATAAAGAATTAACTTTTAAGAACATACTTGCTTTTTTTTTTTAAATTTTAAAGTTTACAAATTATAAATCTCTCAAAAATTCGGGAAAAAAAATGTGTTATAAAATTTACGAATTTCCGATTTTTCTGCAAAGAGACAGATTGTTATGAATTAATATTAATCATTACAACTTATAAAATTACAATACAATAACGGAACAAATTACAATAAAGAAACACCACAACTCACTAGAGGTTGTGGATGTAGTGTAAAACTAATTATTAGACCAGTGCTGTCAATACTAGTCACAACTGATGTAGTATTTCGATTTTTGGTTTCGATTTGTCGAGCATGCGCTGCAAATTCGTGTGTAAGAGGGAAGGTGTAGTTTACAAACATATCACTGGCGAGATTTTTGACTTCATATTGCTATGCCAAAAATCAATCTTACGTTAACCCCTGTACTTGTTTTCGATGTCAGTTTACCTACACCAGGAGTTCCTTTCATTCTGTTGGGGTGGGGGTAAAGACCACAGGTGGTATGTTCGGTGAAACACCCCCAGAACAGCAATAAAATATATATATAAAAAAAATTGCATGTTTTTTAAACAAGATGGATGGTTAAAAGCTAAGTGCCGCGTAAAGTTAAGTGCAGATGGGTGAAATTCATCTTAAGACATCGTAACACGGGTTACTACTTCCGACTGATTTTTACTATTCTAAACGCACTATCCAATATCATTATACTTGTACTGTTTTCAATATAACGCTGTCGTTCTGTCTAACTTTCAACGAAACTTCGCAAGTTGCTGTGATGTTACCCAAAAAATGATAAACGGTGCTATTTTACGCAAATATAGCAAAATAAGGGATAACACTCAAAACGAGGTTGTTTTAGGCTCGCGACTTATTAGAATTTATAAATCACAGCAAACTCGTATGAATGGTATAATTACGCGTAAATTTAAACACAAATCACAATAATAAAATTTTCTAAACTATTAAACGTGTTCTCACATCACCGTGTAAGCATAACATAAGCGGAGAGATATACCGGAAGTTTTCTAAATTGCAAGCCTCGTTGGTAGGGCACTGGGCCCATATCCAAGTGGTCGTGGGTTCGATCCCTGCCGGCCGGAGACTCCCCGTTTAGTAAATGGTGACGGATGCACGTTAAATCTGACGAGTCTCAAAGTCCTCCATGTTCCCATAACAAATCAATACCTCTGGGGTTACTGATTTGGAGATGGATCTTTCTTTGATTCAGGTCAAAATTACGATCTGTGGAAGAATGAATGGATGTATGAATGTGTCCACTCTATAAACGGGTGTGACGTATGGGTGTCGAATTCAGAAGTCTAATTCTTGACCATAGATGGCGCCACTGGAAAACAAGAACAATCGTACACCCTCTGCCTTAATTGCGTACGTCAACAACAACAACCATCCATCGTTTTGTCTAACAGACAATGCAAACGAAAAAAAAAAAAAACAAAAAAAAATTCTAAAAGTGACAGATGAAAACGCCATACTCGTTTTTATATAATTTCATCAAAAAATAAACCAATTTTAATAATCATGTACTCATTTATTTTACACGTGTTCAAATTCTGAATATCATTACATGATATATCATAACTGCTCAGTGTCCCGCAGTGGACTGATTGTTAAAACACGGTTCCCAGCAGATCACCGAAGTCAAGCATCACTGTCTGCGGTCAGTCTGCGGGTGGGTGACCACTTTGATCAGTCTGCGTAGGGACCGAGGGTATGCGGTATGGGTCCTCGTTAAACTGTTCTACCGTAAAATGCTCGACTTCGCGTGCAGGTCATCGGGCTACCGAAGCGGGGGTTGCCATCCCCTCTGCAGAGGACCAAAATTGTGATGGCATGTCTTCGGATCATCCTCAGGGATGTTTCCCAGACCGTCGCCAATAGCCCATTGTGCAGCTCTAGCGTGACGTAAATGAACTACAACAACAACTACAACAACTGCTCAGAAATGAAATCAACTAACCTCTTAGAATATTAAGGCTGTTCACACGTTGCCTCGTAAGCATAACATAATCGGAAGGATACACCGGAAGTTTTCGAAATTTATTCCGGTGTTAGGAAGCTTGTTACTGTTTACCATCTATTAAAAGATGCAGAATAATATTAAAATTTTTAAACGCAAAAATTTAATAATAAACAAGAAGTAAATAAAATAAAAAAAGTAATAAAAGCCTTTCTTTTTATTACTGATAAAAATCGAATGGTGTAAAAGTAAATATTTCTTTTTCTAAACCCATTTTTTATACCTGAAATTTAAAAAAAAAAGCAAATTAAGTATTAAGTTATTTTTTTAAAATTCAAATGAAGGAAAAAAAAATTTTTTTGGTAAACATTTCCTCTTATTTTTATTCTTTATTATTTCAAATAACTTAAAGGATGCAAAACATTCTTTTGGTCACAAGCATTCCAACGAAATTGTTTGAAACAATTCTTGGTGCCATAATTGTTCCATGTCCTGCGCTGTTTCAGTCTGTCTAAATAAAAGTTTTTTTTTTTAAAAAAAAAGGGTAAAATTTGAACAAAAATAAAATCTACAGCCTAGACCGATATTGCTCTACAATAAAGAATTTCTCCTTTATCATTTGAAATCTTGACTGATACCATTCCACAGTAAGGAATTTCTTCTTTATCGTCAACCTAAATGCCCACAGACTTCTTTAATTAAAATAGTCTGTAGGCATTTAGGCCTAAAACAGACCTTTCAATCTTTCTTCGTGTGATATTAAATCCTGAATGGAATCTCTCCAATAAGATATCTTATTTCAATCCTATTTCAGAACATATTTCCATTGCGACCTCTATTGTTTGGTCCTTCCATTCTTTTTTTTCTTCACATTTTGAATACGAGGTGTTCTGTAATCGCCACTCTTAATTTAAAGTTTTAAATTCGTTGTAAGAATATGCCCGATAGAAACCATGAGACTGAAACACGTTCACCAGTCAAGTTCAACTACTTTTTAGCTTGAGACTCAAATAAATTGTTATTTTTATTATTATTTCTAATATCTTAAGGATAAATATTAATTTTCAACCTCTAAAATTTGTCTTCGCGTTTGTACGAAGACTAAATTTATACATAGTAATTGCAGTAATCACGGAGCAACAAGTGTAAATAATATTACTAGACTTTCAACATTAAAAACGGAACAATTAGATAGTTAAACACTCAAAACATTGATTGAGTAGTTCACGAAAAATATCGACTTGGTGAGCTGAAAAAAAAAAGAAATATAATTCCTAAAATAACTGCTATTTATAAAGTGTCCTTTCTATAGAAATAAGATAGGACTCCTCTCCTGATATGTATTAATATTTAATTTTATTTAAACAGAGGCCTCTTTTTCTTAGCTTCTCCGAGATGAATTTATTTTCGAAACTAAACATTTTCTTTTGATTGTAGTGACGAATTCATTCAGTGTTTAGAAAAAAGCGTTGTAATTTAGATATTGCCAAAATAAATAATTATTTTAGTTTCTCAGGGATAACAAACGGCAATATCATAATAATACCCGTCTATAGGCAACTGTTAATTAAACTTTTTAAATTTTGAACAAAAAAATCCCCTCCCCCCAAAAAAAATGTAGATAGCATATTAGACTTTTAAAACACACTACATGTTTTCGCCTTTTGGGGATATTACTTTCAATCACTATTTTTAATTTAATAGCATGGTGTACATTGATTAAAATTAATTGAATATCATATTTTCTATTAAAACATTACTGGATTTTTAAAACAACAATCTTTGATTCAAAAATAAAAATATATCCCTCAGTTTGCGTCTTAAATTTTTGGTAAAATAAATAAAATAAACTATAAAAACTTTTTTGCGATTAACTTTTGCTCTAACATTCACTATGTAATTAGGTAGTGATTGCCACTTAAGTGCCAATCATAATAATAGTTTTTAAAAGGGTGATCTCAAATATGCTTATTTATTATAACAGATGACATTTTAATTTGAAATTAGTTTCCAAAATTAACTTTCTCTGACTAGACATAAATTTTTTGTTTTTCATAGATTTCAGTTTTTGACCATCAAAATGTGGTGGAGTAGCCGCATTCTGGAAAATATGGTCATGACAGCTTAGTTAGGAAAGCGGTCGAAAGTTTGTCTCTCATTGAGAAGTTATAGGGTGAATCTAAAAATTATTACACAGAGTACTACGAAATTCGTTTATCTAAAGATAATTCCATGTAAAATAAAATTAATATTTGGTAATTATTTTCAGCCCCCCCCACCTCTGTCAACGCAGTCATGAATTTAAAATAGTTGGTTTCTCGAGGTCTATCTTTCCATTTTACAAGAAAGCAACTAATGTGTCATTCGGTACCATAGATAATTTACAAGACCTGTTTCACAGTGTCACAAAATGTTCACAAGGGGGCGCATTACGACCTTACATTTTAAACTCCTCGTAGGAGTATCAAGCTATAAGCAAAAACTCGGAATTTTTTTCTATCTTTAACTGATTTATTAACCCAACCAGCTTCAGCGAAGGAATTTCGGTTTCATTTTCTTTGTTCCTTCTATATCGATTTCTATTTAGTTCACTTTTTGCATATTCATAGGATTTCATTATGCCTGGCTTTAAGGTAGGAGAATTAATATTAACTTGTACACCATATTCTTATGTTTTAAATAATAAGTTTAAAAATCAATATTGTGACTTTTGTTTTAAAGAGAACAATCGACTGAAAAAATGCTCTCGATGTTCATTTACTTATTACTGTGATAAAAATTGCCAAGTAAAGGCTTGGCAAATGCATCAAATTGAATGCAAATATCTTAAAAACTGTGTTGGGGAGAAACCAGATGAAACAACGCGTGCTTTTGCTCTTTTAATACTTCAAGTTAAAAAGCATGGCGTTGATAAACCAATCATAAATGTAGGTGTTCGAAAAGTATCATTTGCAACACTAATGTCTCACGCGGAGGATATTAAGCGGGATCTGAAAGTAAAAAAGAAGATCGAGCATTTTTCTGTGCTTCTTCGGAAGTATATTGGATCTGAGAATACGCCTTCTTTTGATGAATTAACTGAAATCATTGGAAAAACGATAATAAACTCATTCACTATTCTTGATGTGTCGTCAACAGAGGGCATTGGGAAAGGTCTTTATTTAGAAGCTTCGGTTTTTGACCATTCCTGTGATCCTGATGCTCTTGTTGTTTTTGAGGGTACAACTTTAAGTGTCAGAATGAGAAGAAATATATCTCATCGAAACATTTGTGACGTTCGTATTTCATACTTGGATGTTTTCCTACAGTTAACTGATCAGAGACGAATGCTTCTGCAGGAAAAATATTATTTTCATTGTGAATGTGAACATTGCACTTCACTTAAATTCGATGATTTAATGACAAAACTCTTAGCTGACACTGATGAAGCTAAACAAAAAGCACTTGCCTGTCAAAAAGAGTTTAAAGAGAAAGAACAACGGTTTGAAAGTTTGTCGTCGATAAACCCGCAACTTGTTTTGGAAGAATGCAAAAAGTTACTAAAAGCACAGTCTGAAGTCCTTGCTGATTCACACATCTGTAAAATTAAAACCCTGCAAATTGCTTGGGATACTTTCCTTCAGCTGAATGCACCTGAAGAATCGATTAAAATGGCTTCTTGCTTAGAAAAATACTTAAAACTGTATTATGGAAATGTTAATATTGTGTTGGGATCTTTCTATCTTTATTATGGTATACATTTGCATTCATTAGGTCATAAGAAAGAAGGTGCTTCCAAAATGTCTGAGTCTGACAATATATTTAAAATTATTTTTGGAACACAACATCCATTCTACAAATCAGTAGAATTTTATAAACAAACTTTGAAACTATAATACTACTTTTTCCCCCCTCATATGTCATTAATTCTGTATTTTAGTGTACATTAAAATATTTCTTCATTTGATGGTGGCAGATTAACATCTAAATTGCATAGTATTTGATATAACTGTTAATAAATCACTATAACTAAAAAATACTCTTATGTGTAGTTTTTCGTATCGGAAGATTTCTGATCGAACTAGGTTATAGGTGTCGTATAGCAAAATTCACTACCTATGGCAATATTTTACATGCTTTCACCATTAGCATGTGAAGAGTCATAGAAGAAGGAAGTGTAAGTTAGTAGTTACTCTCTTGATTTTTAAATAGATTGAAAACTTTTGGAAACTATTTTGTACTGAAAACTATATTTAACATAGTTCTAGTCTAAAAATATCATAGTACATTCCTATACAACTGAAATGAAGAAGAGAGGGAAGGGTCAAGCCATGGAACTAGTCTTCTCCCCAGATGGCACATTCCAGTGTTGCGATTAGAATTATTGCCATATCTTGGCAACTTCAAGGTAGTGAGCTGCGAGAAACTAAAAAAATCGTAGAAGGGGACCAACTCAAAAGGTATAACTAGTAGAGACAACTGCTGGATCTGAATGGTATTTACAGTCTTGGGAGAAACCAGTTTTTACTGTTTATAAAAAATGTTTTTCCCTAGAGTTTAAACTGTTACGTAAAAATAAACATTTTTCCCATCCTCAGAAAAATTTTAGTTTTTTTTCTATTTTTGTGAGCATTTTAAAGCAGTGCTGAAACAATACTTTGGAACATTAGAAAACTAGTCTTGTAAATATTGCAGTACAATATCTGATAACTTAAAGAACGAACATTCTAAAATTTTTTATGAGGATCGAAGTTGTCCCGATATTCTGAATAAAACATGTTCTGATTTATATTTTTTTTTCTGTTATAGATCACTATTATGATTCCTCTATAATACAATGATAGCTAATTACAACAAGTACAGCAAATTATGCGATTCCTTTCAAAATAATATTAAATGTATGTTTATAACAAGTTAAAAATTTCTAGACATCCAAGTGAACAATATTACTTGAAATAATAGTATATAAAAGACATTTTTTTTAATATCAATATAAAAACAGTGAAAAATATTTCGTTTTTTTTTCCTTTTTAATCTTAAATCAAGATATTTGTAAAGCAAACATATCACAATCACTGGTTGTCTTAATCCCGAAGAAGGGGATATTTCCATATCGTGATCTGCCATGCTAACTACAATCGCCATGCAGGGCTGATTGTGCTCCGGAAAAAATCCGGATTTCCGTTAACAGTGATCCGGAAGTTTCCGGAGATCGAAGGTCCAGACGTTTAAAAAAATCGTTGATCACAGAAGTTTCCAGAAATCAAATTTACATAGGAGGAACTTAAAAACACTATTTTATTTGTTTGTGAGGAAGAGCCGGAGAATACTTTATAAGCTTATATTCACGATTAATATTCATTTTTTATCAGTAAATAGTTGTTATAATCATAAACTCAAGAAGGAAAGACATATTTGTAAATTTTAATTACTTCTCCAGGTTACCATAGGTAAATGGTATAGGTATGTGTAAAATTTTAAATATATTTTAAGTAAACTAAGAAATATTGAGAAAGAGGAAAAAAAAACCTTGTTTAAATTTTTTTCTTATTTTCAATTCAAACTGTCTTTTTTGTTGCTTTTTTTAACTCAAGAAATTTTCCGGAATTTTGACTTGGGCTCATAATCACCCCTGGTCATGGCATCAAACTGATTTTAAACTGGGAAATTAATAAATACATGTAGAGTTTCGGCCGGGGGTGGCTATGAGTTATACCTTTCATGTCCGTCCCTTTCTGTGATATTTTAAAAAGTTTTTTTGCCAGCCTCTGCCGGGAAGATGCCAAGCCTTTGTGATTAATCTGCCATAAATCACAATATACGAAATCTTCCCCCTAAAAAACTGCTGTTTTTGGACACTCTTCAAAAGTATGCATCTTTTTTTGATCACAATCCATCATGTTGACTATTTTCCATTTTAATAGCATACTATTATGATCAACATTCAGTGTTATTGAAGTAAAAAACAATTGCACTTTAATTTTTTCTTTACGTCTTGCAAAAACCTGTTATGTCTTGTTGCAATTTGTTGATAGTTATTAAATTGTTGGAGTTTTAAGGAAGAATACTAAGGAAAGTAAAATTTTTGTATTAAATATGTGCATTCTTCTGAGGAATAAAAAAGGGCACTTGTGAGTTTTAAAAAGCTACTCACCATCGTTAAATTTTATCAAAATGTGTAATATTATATAATTGAACTAGATCCTTAATTTGTAAATTACCCTTTTGTATAATTTACGTGTATATTTCACAAAGTAATTTTCATTCAGTGTAAAAATAACAGAAAATGTGAAAGGAAATTTATAAATGTGTATACTCCGTGAATAAATTTTCTTCAAACCAAAGTAAACTTTAAAAAAAAAAAGAAAAAAGGATAATTGATAAACTCGAAAGCTTTTTTTATATTTTAAACTGAAAATTATGAAAAAATTAGCATTTAAAATTGCATTTTTAAATAAGAGGTATTTTTTTAAAAAAATTAATGGTAAAATTTAATCATCCCAAATAAAAGATGTGAATATCTCGGAAGCCGATTATCATGCAAATTTTAACTTTATAGCGAGACGAAAAAAGAAAAATCTTATTAAAATTAAGGAATGAAATTGAAAGTTAAATAATTATCAGTAACTAATTAAAACAGATGGTTAAGAAAACAATCTTTTCCCGAAAAAATAAAATGGCAGTGTTTTTACAAAAAAGGACTCGTTTACAAGATCAAACTGCAGGTAGACAGGGAGAACGCTGTATTTGCTTAGTACAAATTTTTTTCTTCCAATTATGTATACTAGCAGAATATAAAGTTTATCTTTTCAATTATAATTTAGAAGACAGCTAATATATCGATTGTCGAAAAGTTACATAATTGTAAATATACATGTATATAGATATAAACGTATTATCTAATAATTCTTATTATTAACTACAGTATGGACATAATACATATTCGTATCAAACCAGTATATCTGTAAATTAATAATCAAGGATTAAGAGCATTTTCCAGTTTCTTTCCTGGTAAAAACCTAACCCTACACCCCAGGCAAACCTCATCTGGTTTTTGTGGAGATATTTAAGTATCGGGATCTGCCGTGGCAACTACCAATTGCTAAATGCATCTTAAACTTGCACATTCAAAGAAAAGAAAAACGTATAGAGGTTTGCCCTGGAAGGAATGTCTACAAATTACACCCTTAAACTTGTTCCCCTTCTATGATTTTCTAATCAAGTCCGGAAGAAGCCAAGATTAGGAGATCATTCTGCTGTATATCTCAATATGGATATACTCCATTTTTAAATTTTTTTTTTCAAGGTTAAAACTATTTGGCACCTTGGCAATCTTCTTTACAACATGAAAATATCCCCTTCCTATCCATTGTTTTCGTAATATTTATTTTGAAAGTTCTTTTTATCAAGCTGAAAAAAGTTAAAATATTGTTTATTTTTAATAGGTTAAGAATTTGACCAACTCAACTGATCTTGGATGTGGTATTTACTGTACAAAACCTATATATTTTTAAAAAAAACCTTAACATTTATCATAAAGTACTTACAGCACAGATAAAATAAATATCTATAATTTTTTTTATACTCATATTTAATTTTGAATGTTAGTTGAATATTTATAGAAATCCCTCATTCTGAACCTTTAAAGATATAAAGCATAGTAAGAGCCCACATTTTTATGACTATATAGTTATACTTATTTTTAATTACAGTATTTTAAAATTTTGGTACCAGAAATTTTACAACATGGTCTTTAATTTATGTTATATGAGATGAAATAGAAAAAAATAGTATTTTCCACATTTCTTGGAGTTAATAATTTTTTTTTTTAAAAATATAAATCAAAATTTTAGATTTAAAGACAAAATTAACATTTTTTAATCAAAAATTAGGGGGGAAATCTGGTGTCCTAAGTAGTTAATGTTTTTAGGGCACTGCCAAAAGTGAATAAAGAACCCCACTAAATATTTTGCTCATGTCCTTATTTAGTCTAGCAATAATTGTGGCCAAATTTCATCTCACTGTAGGATCCAGTTTTCCTACATTAATTTTTATATTGGTTTGGTGACATCGGCACAAAATTGATATAAGTCAAAGTTATTGTTTTCCTATAAATATTTGTTTCCCTAATTTAAAGGTTATATCTACCTGTACTGATTTTCAATGATTTCTAAATTAAGAGTTTAGGAGGATTGTTTTTATTATTATTAGAATAATGTACATTACATTTTAAGATAAAGTTATTTAAATTGGTTAACTGTTATACAATTATTATTTTTTTGTTGTAAATTATATTAATATACTAGTATGAATTACAGATAAAAAGATTTGTTAAATGATTTAGAACTTATTTTTTAGTTTCAAGCACAAAGTGATCATTTTTCTAATTAATCATTTCAAAAAATGATTACTTAAAAAAATGATTCATGTTCACTCATAGATCTTAATAGTATCATAAGGGAAATATTTGTACATGTATTTTTAGTTGAATAATTTAAGTTCATTTAGGCCAATAAACAGTGGTCATTGTGAAAATTAATATACTTGAGCATTTTAGTTATAAATAGTAGGAAAATTCTGATTAGTTTTAAAAGAGTGTTTGCATACATTTCAAAACTATAGCATATTTATATGATAGCTAGCTAGAGCGCAATAAGCCCAGAATACCTCACTGGGAGAAGTAAGATCGCATTGCTTTGCAGATAAAAATAGTATAAAAATCGGTTACTTAATAAAATCAACCATATCTAGAATAAACAAGATTTTAAGACTCTGTACTTAAAATTAATAAGTAACTTAAAAGTTTGCATAAAGAATCACTTAGTGTAAGTAAAAAAATCTCTTTACTTTCCACATAAAGTGGTCATACATATTGTACATAATATCTAATAATGCATAACGAAAACAACACAAAGGTAATTCCATAGCAACTAATCATTCAATTCACTCATAGAATAGGTATACAATCTGTTAAATCATTTAAAGTAGCAAAAAAATTTAGGTTTAAATTATTCTCTATTTACTTAACACTGTGACAACTATAAACAGGAGGTTGAAATGAAAGACAAAACTACACCGGCTTTCAAAGATAATATTCACACAAAACTAAAGAGGCATTAAAACCTAACATTGATTTATTTAAATAGGACTATTTCACACATTTTCTGTTTGCATGCATGTAAAATTTAGCACTAACCAAAATGGTATTGTGAAGAGATTGACTATTAAAGTTTAAAGTAGCTTTTGTTATAAAACATATAAAGCAAAATATAGGATTTGTTTTCATAAGAATGGTAATTTTGAATTTTTTCACAAAAAATAAAGGAAATGTATTAATTATGGATAAATATTTCTGACTTCAACTCAATTAAGAATTTCAAGCAAAACTAAACTAAAACAAAATTTCAAGCAAATCTAAAAATTAATTAAAATTTAATGTAAAAAATAACTGTCAAAACACCTACAAGCATTTTAAGGTTAAAATGTAGAAGTAAAATCAAAAGAATAAACAACAAAATTCAACCTGTTGAGATTTTAACATTAAATGATCAATAATACTGAACATATTTTAATAAGTCCATTACAATTTTTTTACAGCATTAATTATAAATAGGCTACAATCAGAAAGTAAATTATTTGGTTTTATAAACTAATCAATATTAATTTATTTAATTAGTAGACTAAAAGATTATTTTTTATTTTGGAATACATTAAATTTTAAAATGAAAGTAATAGAAAATACAACATTAGAGTAAATAACAATTAAAGATTTAATTAAATATCAATATTGTTAATGGTTAAAAAAATATATTCATTATTAAAATTTAACAAGAAACAAAAATGTATACTTCATAAATCATTAGTTTTAAGTTTAACATAGCATGAATTAGGGTTAGCAATTTAAATTACTTGATTTTTTAAAAAAAATCATTAATGTAAAAAAAAATGATTTAAAAAAAAATACTATTAAAGTCTAAAATATTTTTAATTCATTATGAATAATAAATAAATTTTTCGGGGTGTGATACTTTTTTTAAAAGTTTGAATTCATAGATAAGGAATGCTTTTTATTAAATAGTATTGTATTAAATAGTAATGTATGTAAATTATCATACTTCTAAATAGAGTTAACAATAAGAGGGGGGGGGGGGGGTTNGGATAAGAGTGTTGTGAAGCTTTTATATTCAGGGGTGATTGTGACACAAAGAAAAAAAAAAAAACCTTGAAAATATGTGCCAAAACTCTATAACAAGATATCAATTTATATACTACTCATATTTATAAATAAAATTTTTTGACATAAGATTTATAATTAACTTACCTCCAATGAGGAATATCACATTTATATTGTAACTAATTTAAGGATTTTTAAATAGCGTAAATACAAATTGAAACATTGGATTTTTAGCTCTCGTGAATGCGAATAATGATATTGATTTCAAAAACGTGCAAATACAAATTACTATATTAGATTTTTAAATCACCTGACTACGATTCACTATAAGTAACTTTTCACTCAGATAAAAACAAAAATCAATGTTTGATATTAAAAATGGTGAAAATTCAAAAAAAAAAAAAAAAAAAAAAAAAAAAAAAAAAAAAAAAAAAATCAAATTGACGGAAGAGTTATGTGTATGGAAACATTTCGCAAACGTGATTTAGCAGAAGTTTCAAAATTTAAATTTTTGATGGTAAAGCTCTTATATCTTACTTGAATTGTGGTGAAAATTTCGCCAGATCATTAGATACTTGCAATTTTGCAAAAAAATGACATGCTCGGCTCATAATGGAGGGATATAAAAAACCCAGAATGCTGGGGTACACCCGTAATACAATCACCCCTGCAAATTAAAATTGTCTGATAAAACATCTTTAAAATATAACCAATTAATACTATTTTTGTGCTTTCAAAACTTATTAAATATGTAGCTACTGCATACAAATAATGAAGAAAGACTTGTTCTACCATGAGTAACTTAAAATAATTTTTTGTCCCATAAAAAATCAAACACATCAGATATTTTAAATATTTGTAAACAAAATCATAATTCTTGCCAATCTTGGCTTATACACACATAATCATTAAAACTTGATAAAACGTTTTGGATTAAATGTAGAATTTCATGTCATTTCAAGTTATCCTGAGCGAAATAAAGTAAAAACATACAATATTGTGGACTTAGTGTAACAAAATTAAACGGTGATGCAAAATAATGTCCAACACTGAATCAAAGGTTGTATTAAAAAAAAGAAAGAGAAATATACTTTGTACAGGGAAAAAGTGCAGGAAGGGATGTAGAATCCATTATTATTATTATCACGAACCTACAAAGGGCTGTGCTAATACAGATTTAAATAATTATGCACTTAATTAAATAAAGTAATTACAATGTAGTTAGTTTCTTCAACATAAGATATTATTTAATATTTTTGGTTACTATACAGAAAAAAATTAATCTAATGAATATTTTTGACTAAAAATTCTTGCCTCAATAAAAATAAGAAATTTTTAAAAGCTTGAATTAAGTTATAATACTAAAATATACCCAATTCCTGAAAGACATGTAGTTGTAGTCTCGAGGAAGACTTTCACCAGTAATAAAAAGATCTACAACATTGTAGGGAGAATATGAATATTTCACAAAATCTTCGGAAGCCAGTGTATGTTTGCATACATAAATGTGTAATAATATGTATTCAACATAAAATTTATGTTCTTTACATATTGTAGATGAAAAATGAGGAACAAATAGGGAATTAAATGTCACTCAATTTAATATATTTTTACATTTTTTACAATTAAATAGCAACAAAATAAAGTGATCAATGCATTTAAACGATGGGAAAAAAATCAATAATTTAAAACACAGATTTGATTCACTGATAACTCATACAATAAAAAATATAATATATCGTTGAAACAAACTCAAAATACACAAACTATCTGCCACTGAGTTTGCATGCAAAACACTCAACAATGATGCCATTATAACAATCATAGAGGGGGAAAATATATATATTACATTTTTTGTTTCAGATAATCCTGTACAACAAAGGGTAATAATCCTCTCACAAAGGGTTGGTATATCGTGATTGCAAAGGAAATAAAAGAAAAACAAATGCTGTACAAAAAAGTTCTAAGTATATTACAGTCACTTCACCATTTTTTTTTTGTTTGTTCCATATCACAAGTACTTGAATCCAGCCGGAGACAAAACAAATTCAATTTATTTATGAATTTCTGGATAAGCATATAATAGAAATCAACTACAGGCAAAAGCAAAAATTCATTATGACCAATAAAGCTTTACAAAGTTCATATCTTTACGTAACACAACTGGATTCAAGAGTATAAGAAAGAGAGAGAGAGAGACACACGGGAATTCTAGAAAAGGTTAATGTTTATTATATTTTCTTTCATTAAGCATCTCAGAAACTCTCGTCACTCTCCATCGCCTGCAATCGGATATCTTCACCCTCCGCATCGGCCGCAGAACCATCGTGTGAAGATTCATGGTCAGCAACACCTGAACTTACGCTGGCTCTGCCATATCCTGTTATATAAAAAAAATAAAGAAAATTTTATACATGGAAATTAATATATTGAATAGATAAGAAAATTATTTCCTCTGTGTGATCAAATAACTCAACATTTCTGTAAAGAATATCAAGTAAAAAGGTTCATTTTTCTCTTATTTTGTTAGATTTGATAATATTAAATATAGTGAGTTGTTACCTACTTTTATGTCAATTTTTTTTTTTTTTGCTGAAGTGTTTAAATTATAGATAGAAATTACAGTTAGAAAATATTTATTCAATTGCAGTAGCTACTAAGTTTAAGATAGGACAGAATTCAAAAATTTTCTTTAGTTTTGGCATAAGTAGGATTTGTTTTATATACTTTTTTGAAAATAGGACTAAATCATAAAGGAAAAAATTTTTTTTTTTAGAAGCAGTTTATGGCGCGTAGCGTTTTTAAAAAGGTGCTTGATTTTCCCTTTTCAAAAATGAGATTTTTTTCTTCTTTACTATCTCAATTTTCGCTACGTATTATGCAAAACCATGCATTTCACATCGTTCTATTCAATGTTTTCACAATAGGTTCAACAATCTTTCTCGGCATACCATCAGTCCATAGCGTATGAAAGCGCCAATCATTTTACATGTTTCATGAAATACTTGAGAGTCGGCATGTGTGTCTACTGAGCTGGGTTCGGCGAGATTACTGCATTCCCATGTGCAACTCTGCTGCATTTTGCAAGATATTTTGATTTCAGGGTTTATTTTCAACCATCTGATATTAAAACGAAAAATCTCTTGATCATTTTACAATGGCTAATATAATCAAGAAAAGAGTTCTTTGTCAGAAACTAGTTATTTTATCACGATTATGTAAAGAGTTTAAAAAATTGTTTTGCATTTTGTTAATGCACATGACGCTTAAAAATATTCTTCGAGTGCTTAATTTTTGTTGAAAGAATTGGCTACCCACCCTGCTATATGAATTCTCTTAACTACACAATTTTCTGAATTTGATGAATGGCAATTTTAAATTATTGTCTATGGAGGATTATATGCTTAAATTATCATTATTCTTATTCAAACGAACTATTATAATGCACTGTTTATAAACATTTTAAAAAAGAATGAGCCATATGACATTCATATAAGAGTATTATTTTACATTCAGAAGTTTTTGTCACATAAAATATTTTTTTGTCAAATTTAATTAAATGTTAAAACTAAATGTCAAATTTGTTTCAATTAAAAACTTTTAAATAGAATCGGAAATTCTGTCGACATGCTTCTTAATATTTTCTTCATTAAAAATAAAATTAAATACTTAATTTTATTGATTAAATCAAATTTTTAAATGTATCAAAAAGTCAAGATTTCAAAAAATTATTAAAAAGTAAAAGGTCTTTAGGTAGGCAAAATTAAAAAACAGGGAAAATGTGCCAGAAAATAATGGATTATAAAAAAACAGGCTATTTGTAGTTTTCATACGAATTTATAGCTCAAATTAAAGTTGAAAAAATTGTGGAAGAATCCTATTAGTTTGTTTTGGCATTAGTCAAAATTTAAAATACTTTTATCATAAAACAGTTGCTTTATTTTAAAAAAATGACAAAAAACAAACAAACCTTGAGGAATAAATAAAATAAAAATGAGATGAAATAAGAAGTTTTAAAAAAAAAAGAAATCAAGATAAAAAATATAAAGTTTTATCATTACCAAACTGTACTTATATTAAAGCATGAGCATTAAGTATCATACTTCGTTCTTCATCAGCTGCAACTTCTTCTTCATCATTGGTGTATTGTTTGTCTATAGCACCTTTTATTTGGTTATTAGCACCTCGGGGATCAAGATCAGTCGCCCATGAGAAGTTCATCAGAGTTAAATGTGTGTTGCCTAACTTTTTATGAACCTAAGAGACACAATAATGTGAATGTAACATAGTTGTAAAATAACTTCAACTTTTTATCAAAATAAAAATGAAGAATTTTTTGTAGATGAATTATCCAACAAAAATGTCATATTTTTGGAATAAAGCATTGGTAACATTTATGCTTTTTTATCATCTTGTTTGAAAAAAATGAGTAAAATAGCTTTTGAGTAAGTTATTCATTTTAACAGCAGAGGTTTAGATCTTTTTAACAATACTTTCAACAAAATTTTTTTAACAGGCTTCAGTAGATTACAGACAAAAGTTAAAAGAAATTTTCTTAATTTTTTTTACATGTTTCAGAAGTTTTAAGGGCTGGCACAGTTAAGTCTTTCGGACAGAGTCGGAATTTATTAAAGAATGTTGTACAATCTTATTTAACTATGAAAGATATACCCAGGGTATCTGCTACATTATAGATTTTCAAATCCATGAATAATTCCAAGAATTTTTCATGACTTAACGAAGTTATTATTTTCTCTGACAAAAACGCAACAATAAATTAAAAAAAGCATTATAATAACATTAATTGAAATGATAGGTATAACCAAAACTGTTATACTCTGCATCTTCATATTTATAGATTTTAAATTTAAAAAAACAGAGTAAAGAAAGAGTTGAAGCAATAAAATAGCTGTAAAAAATATAAAAGCAAATATGTTTTTCTTTTTTTCTGCTTAAGATACTTTTCTTGTTCATCGGAAAGGAAAGAAATACTCCTTATTTTTTTGTTCTCAATTCGGAATTAAAAAAAATCGCCAATGACTGGCTCGCTTCAGCTAGAATTTTAAATTGATAAAATAAAAATAATAATAAAGATTCTGAAATCACAGGAAGTTTAAAAGATAATTCGCTCCAGAAATGTTTTTTCTTTAATTTTTTTGAAAGAACACCATAATTTTTAAACAAAAAACATTTTATATTTTAATAAAATATGATTGTGAGTGGGGAAAAAATAGAACTCAATGTCCCATCTTTAGATAAATGGAGATTGCCCGACTGCACTATAATTATGTGTGATGTTATTCTCTGATATGTTTAAACTATTGTGAATGGTTTTTTTTAAAATTTTATTTTTAATTAAGTTCTTTCTATTTCCCAATCTTCTAATAACCATCTGGCACAGTGAAGTTATTACTTGGAAGTACTCAACTGTTCAGCAATAAAAAAAAACAAAAAAACATTGTATTTTTCAGTTTTTAAAAATTGTCTTTTGCATGGAAATAAACTTTTGTTCAAGCAAAAAATCATATTGCATAATTTAGCACACAAAACAGAATTTTATCTGAAATCTTACCATAACTATACCACCTTTAAAAACAATCACGTTCCTTACACTTAGGCTATTTAATTGGTTAGAACTAAATTCTCTATCCCCATTACAACGAAAGAACTATCCTAGATTACCTTGGCTTATGATATTTATATCTCTGAAAAATTGTCTAAATAATTAACGGAACATCATGTGTATTTTTGTAATAGCATTTACATAAAACTTAGCAATAAAATATTGTTTTTAGAACAACATATTAAAAGAAATAGCTAATATTTTGACAAAGATGCTTGGTGCAAAAATTAAATAAAATTAAAAAAATAAGCAATAGTTATGATAATATTACTTTGAAAAACAATGAGCAGTAGTTTCAACATTCTTAAATGAAGATAAGATTGATTTAAAAATAGCTTACTTTTCCAATTAAGAAATAAACTAAAGATTCTTTGGGGACTATTTCTTTTAGTTCTTCTAGATCTTCTAAAGCTTCCTCATGCCTATCCAGAGAAAAGTAAACAGAAGCTCGATGAAATTTGCACAAAGGATTTTTTGGATCCATAGCTATAGCCTTATTTAAAGTAGCTAAGGATGCATCCATTTTCTTTAAAGCATGCAAAACCTGAAAAATTAAAAACATAGATAATCTCAGTTTTACAGGATTAAAGTATTTGAAATGACAGGAAAAAAGGATTATCAAAATCTGTAACAATGGTTTCCTCGTGTGAGGTTTTTGAAATGATATATTAAGAATTATATTAAATGTTTGAATTCAGAATGGTATAAACATTATAACTCCGAATGTAAATAAAGAATAATGCGAAGATTAAACACATCTACAGTATAATTTTAAAACCAGTAAAGAAGTAGTTATTAAGTATGTTCGTTTCATTGAAAGAGAGAGAAAAGGAGAAAATTGACAGCAATAAAAATGAACCTAATCCTTAATTTTAAAAAATTCTCTACATCATTTTAAGCTAATGTGGCAAAGATATTTCTGAATATTAATTTTAGTTTCCTTAAAAAAGATAAAATATCAGCAATAAAAACAAAACTAATTCTTAATTTTAAAACAGCATTTTATGTTCATATGCCAAAGACATTTCAGATTATTCATTTTAATTGAAGTATTTTGTAAATTAAGTTGAAGTTAAAGAAACTTCAACAGAACCACATCACAAAGGGAACTTAATGAATAACACATTTTAATTATATTTTGCACTACAAAGTCATCAATAAATTAACATAAATAAGTACATTAATTAAATAGTATGAAATTTAAAAAAAAAAAGTTAAGTTTTGTCTTTTACACAAAATACCCCTCCTCCCTTCTTTTACAAACCCTGAGTAAATATTTTGAAAATATACAAATTGGTTAAAAATTTCAATAGTATTTCACATTAATATATCAGGGATGAGATTGGCCAAAAGGCAAAAAAGCTGAATTTCCAAGCAAGTAAATTTTACGTACGCGCAATCGGTTAACAATAAATTCCAGACAGTTTAAGATAATAAATAACAATGTGTTGACATAAAATTGTGTATTAATTTATTACTATTATATAAATGATTACATCAATACTTAACATTTAGTAAAAAGAAAAATTACCAATTGAAAAAATAAAGCTAGAAATTATATATTTCTTCAGTTCACATAAGAGACAATTATTACTTGAGAAACTGTCTGGTTTAGCAAATTAAAACCACTGAGAACATACATTAACATTCCATTTCTGTTAATAAATACTGTTACATGATTTAAAGCAAATATATCAGTAACATGACTTTTTAAATTATTTTGAAAAGAAAATCAACTTTTACAATTGGAAAATTACTATGTTTATATTATAATCTGATCTAACTAGAGCCCTGCCCTGTGAAACATATCAATAACTGTGAAGTAGAAATATATAGTAAATCCTTAACATACAAAAACTGCTATTTTAGTTTGAAAAATTACATGATAATCAGCAACTGTTTAGATAATTATTTTTCATTTGATAAGAACTTTGCATTTTATAGCATAAATAACAGCAACATTAGCTTTTAAATTTATTATTTTTTAAATTTTGCATTTTGATGCTGAGTTAATTAACTCTTTTTCCAGAAAAAAAAATTGAATCACTTTTTAAGTGCTATATCTTTCATGTTTGCTATATTTAGTCGTTAGCCCATCTTCAAACATCTTGTGACAAATCCTACTTTTTCTTCTTTGCAAGCCCAAAGTAAAAGTTTTGAATATATTCTATTCCAGTTTCGCTGATGTTGTAACACCTACATATACTAATAATCGTCGATAGAAAAACAGTCACTTTTAGAGTAACTTAATCAAGAAAACATTTACTTCTTACAACAATCGCAATAGTTGATCTTAAAATTGCGCGAATGCAAATTGCTATCCTGGATTTTAAAATAGCGTGAATATGAATCACGATTATGGATTTTGAAATCACGTGAGTATGAAACTAGATATACGATTTTGAAAATGTCAAAATACAAACTACGATATAAAATTTTTAAATTGCGTAAATACAAATCACGATTCATAATTTTTAGATCGCGTAAATACGAATCATGATGCGTAAATTTTAAATTGCATAAATAAGAATTATAAGGCATAATTTTGAATGCAAATCCCAATGCCTTATTTTTAAAGCACGTATAAGACGAAAATCGATGTTTGATATTATAACCGCATGAGTGAATCACGACATTGCATTTTAAACTCTTGTGAAAACGAATTGCTACATAGGTTTTTAAAAAGGCGTAAATGCAAATCACGATATCGGATTTTAAATCTCGTAAATAAGAATCGCAACACGCAACTTTCAAATCACGTAAATACGAAAAGCTATGCTTGATATAAGAATCGAGATATTAGCAGATTCCAGGCTTGCGACTTCTAAAAGACTTGTCTGAAGCAGCGTCGTTTGAATTACGAAAATACGAGCTATCTGGCTGGCAGGTAAAAATGCGTAAAATCTTATCTTCTGTGCGTAAAAGCGGAGAAAATAGCTGAAATAAGTAAAAATGCGGTAAGGGTTGGTAGCTTTGTAGTTTNATTCCAGGCTTGCGACTTCTAAAAGACTTGTCTGAAGCAGCGTCGTTTGAATTACGAAAATACGAGCTATCTGGCTGGCGGGTAAAAATGCGGAAAATCTTATCTTCTGTGCGTAAAAGCGGAGAAAATAGCTGAAATAAGTAAAAATGCGGTAAGGGTTGGTAGCTTTGTAGTTTGAATTTTCTGTTTATCTTTGAAAATCGGAAATAAAGATGATTATTATATTTCAGTGGCTGAATTTTCTGAAAAAGCGGAATATTTATTTAAAAAAAAGCGAAATTTTAAGAGAATCGGAGTTTTTGATAAAAAGGCTGAAATTCGAGAGACAAAAGTTAAAAAAAAAGCGGAAATCTGCTCAAAAGCGGAAAAATCTCACCCCTGTATATTCATTTAATTTTAATCCAAGCCATTTAAAAAAAAAAAAAAATTACAAAGTCAGAGAATATTTTACGGATCAAATAGTCTAAAGTCTTCAATAATTTAGTAGAATGAGCTTCAATGAATACAAACATTTTCAGAGAATTAAATTTAAAATAATTACCACTCCAATATGGCACATTAGAACAGAACTCTGAGGATTTATAGCCAAAGCTTTTCTATAATGAACTTCTGCAAGTTGAAACTTTTCTTGTTTATAATAAATCATGCCAACACCATACCTGAAAAAACAACCAAAATGTTACTTAAATGATGAGCCACGGCAACTTATTTAATAATAAAACATTAGGATATTAAACAGTTGGACCACTTGATGCTGAAAGAACGTAAATGTTGATTTCCTATGCTTATCTGCAAAGATTTATACATTTAACTAAAATTTAGATAATAAGAAGATATAAAACTAGAAAAAAAAATCATTACATTGACCAGACATTAAAGGTAATCAAACTTCATGTTTCCAAAAAATAAATTGATATAGTGCCCGGCATGTTAAATTACTGAATAAGGGAATTAACTGCTTGGTGTTATTAAATTTACATGAATTTGCTTTCTAAGAAATTGTCCCATCTCTGAAGTTTTCTAATACCATTTTTTTAAAAATATTTACTTAAATTAATAGTTATTTTTCATCTTTCAGAGACAGATTTGGAATAATTTTAGCATGCAGAAGGGCCTAGTGCAGGAGTGTGATGGGGAGTGGCTGTTTTTTCAAATAAAGTGCCTATTTTTAGTATTTGTTACGATTTAGATTAGTTTAGTTCCCTCCAAGAACTCTGAGCGCTTCGGAGCTTTGTTTTCCCCAAGAGCAGTGGCCGGAACTCAAAAATTTTCATTTTTCCATGCTACAGCAATTTCACTGTGTTCTAATGACATTCAAGAGGCCTAATGCAGAGTAACGTCATAGCCCATTTGCTATAAATGTAAAAGACTGTTTTCGGCATTAAAATACATTTATAGGTATTAAAAATCAAATATGAAGGAAAATTTACAAAATTAAATTCTTTTTCATAAGAATGAGCATATAACTAAACTTTGATTTAAATTAAATTATCATTTTCTCAATGAGTGGATGATAATGAAAATTTGTTTACATAAAATTTCAAACTAAAATCTGAAACGGAAAAGTGCACATTAATATATAACAAAATAGTCGGAGCCAGGGCTTTAGCTTATCTAGAGTACCCAAAATTTTCCATAGTCTTTGGGTCTCTGCTAAATAGCAAATGTTTTTTGTCTCTCTCTTTCTCTCTCATTGATCAATGAGTTTAATTTATGCATTTAAATTTAATAGTTGGGAAATTCTTATAGCTATTAACCCAATTAAAAAATTCTTTGAATTTTTTTTAAGGAATCCAATTTAATATTTACACTTTTGACAAGAAAAACTGAGAAAATAGTATTTCCTTTTTAGTAGTGTGAAGTAGATATTCTATTAGTAAAATTAGCCATTTACTACAATCAAAATTTTTAGGTACCATCATGATCACATTGAACAGCAGACACAGTAATTCGCTAAAGCAGGTAAAAAACATTAAAAAAAAGCAACAAACAAAAACAGATACATAAAATAATGTAAGCTGAATACAATAAAATGCATTGAAGAAAAATAAAATTAACAATTTATAAAAAGTGTAAATACCATGCATTATAATGTCGGGGATCTATTCGGATAGCATTACGGAAGCAGGTCATGGCTTTGTCCATTTCTTCCGTCATAACATACTCATGCCCCAAGAGAGTATAAGCATATGAAAAGTTTTCATCAACTTGAACAGCTCTTTGAAGGTATTTAATGGCAGTTTCATGTTCTTTCTGAAGACTAAAACAATTACCAGCTGCACACCATGTCTTGAAAAAAAAGCAAATGTTAATGCAGTTTTTACGTCATTCACTTAAAGATAATATTTATAGAAAGTCAGTGAAAGCATTGTTTATATAGTGATATTTGTTACATATTAAAAGATTATTTAAGTGTGATTTCCGATTAATATAATTCTTGTGCTGAATTTGCTTCTTTTCTTCACTTAAAAATAATATAACTTTAAATAAATATAATATTCTACAAATACAAAATTATGCACAAGTAATACCTGTGCTGAAATTCAAAATTTCATTACTATAACACTAAGACTATTTGAATCCTTCATATTTATCAAAACTGGTTTAATTAGAGGTTGAGGCTAGAAGGGGTTTTTTATAATCAACTCCCCCCCCTTGTTTTCTTTAATCAAACCAGTCTTATTGTTTATTGTACCAGCCTCCCTGCATTTTGATTTGTAAGATTTTGACAGTTCTTTTTCTTTTCTGTTACATATTAATTTTCAATCTTCAATGTGTTATTTCCTTCTTTTAATTTTTGCTAAGAATTTTAAAAATACATCACATTAAACAGCTTTTTATGGAACACCCTGCATACATATAATGTATTAATTAAGCATATTTTATTTAGTATAAGCCGATTTATTGATATAAATTGAACCAAAATATATATTTCAAAATTCACATCAATTTTATTAGAAAAAAGATTAGACTTTAAATAGATGAATGCAAAAATGTCATCTGCTTTCTGGTGACACATATTGTTGAGAAAGGAAAACACTGTTTCCTTTGTTTTTGTATAAAATAATTATTTTATGCTTTGTTGTCCCAATGACCAATATCAACTCATTTTCAGTGGGGGCAGTAGATTAAGTCAGAAATTGGAATGCATAGTGAAATGCAGCAGAGTTGGCGTATGTTAGGGTAGATATTCTTACCACCGAAATTGCCTTGTTGCAATGAAAACCCTTTTTAATATACATTTTTAAAAATGCCTGTTATACAATTATAATTTTATATTTTTCGCTTTTAAATACCCTTAAAAGCCAAAAATTGCAACAGTGACAAAAAAAACGAACAAAAATGAGTAGAAAACAGATTTGTGACAATTAATATTAAAATGAGGTTAAACAAAAATTATTAATTGAAATCTAATAATATTGAAGCACAAAAATCTACCTGGGGGCACTTAATATCAAAGTCAGTCAGCTCTTGAGCCAGAGTAGAAAGAGCAACTTCCTTTTGTAAATGCCATAAAGCAGTGCTGTAGTATTCCATACCCTGTACACGATGGGGCTCCAAACGCCGAACTTCTTCAAACTTTTGTATAGCCTAAAAATAAAGAGTAAAAAAATACAATATTTAAAAATTGATAGATATTTAAAAGTATTTAAGTTAACATTAATAAGTGCAAAACTCAGAAGACAAGATAAACATCAGTTTAGCTCATAAATAACTCCCATAATGCTAAGATAAATTCACCAGAACNTTGTATAGCCTAAAAATAAAGAGTAAAAAAATACAATATTTAAAAATTTATAGATATTTAAAAGTATTTGAGTAAAAACTCAGAAGACAAGATAAACATCAGTTTAGCTCATAAATAACTCCCATAATGCTAAGATAAATTCACCAGAACAGGACAATTAAGATGAATTAGCATAACTTATAGTTAGTGTTAACAAATTTTAATAAATAATATAAATTATGTTATTTAGTCAAATTAGTAAATAGCATAAATAACTTCAATATCGAAAGAATGCTGAAATAAATATACCAAAACATGGCAATTAAGTTTAATTTTAATCTTAAAGTGTGAGAATGCTTTTCTCTCAAAAAAGCATATTTGATTTAAATTGGACCTATGAATATTTTATGGGGCTTTGCATTTATTGATTAAAAAACTTATTTAAATTGCATTTTCAAAAATTAAGTTTGCAAAATAAAATTGTTAAATTTTTGATAAAAAATAAAAAGTACCAATCTGTTGAAGGGCCAGCAAAAAATAGTTGTATATTACTGACACAGTATGGAACTTTTTAATTACTTTAAAATGTATGTATCAATCTTTTTTTCCATTTTTGCCATAAAAATTATTAATACAGTGATCACTAATGAAATCACTGGATTATAAAAATGGCTGCTTTTTAAAACCAAATCTGTAAGAAAGGAATCAATAACAATACCAAAATATGATAAAACCACTCCTTAATAAAATCATTGCCATTTTGTAAAAAAACAAAAATTTTTAATATGCATTGAAACCTAAAAATGCTCCAGTTAAAAGTTATTAACAAGACACTAGTGAAGAGGATTTTAAAAAAGATTTAATGAAAAAAACAGACACAGCTTCAAAGGGAGGAAAAAAACAAAAAACAAAAACAGATATTCATGCAGGCAAATGTTCAAATATTTGGAACAAGTTTAGTGGTCAATATGAAGGAAGAAATAATCATACCATGCTGTATTCTGCAAGTTCAAAGTGAGCCTTTCCTAAAGTGGTGAGTACCCAACCAGTTGTATGATGTTGAGGAGGAAGACTATTAAGAACATCAATAGTTTTTCTACAACAATAATGTCCCAGGTATAACTGTGCCTTTCCCATTTCTTGGAGAAGTGTCATCAAACCCTCTACAATGATAATAAATACATATTTCATTCATTTCAGTAGTTATTACAGCGGGTAAAAATCTTAGTGTTTTACATGATCTATCCAAATAATTACTACATTACAAATCATTGATAAAAAACAATATTTCAATACAAGTACACTCCTTTGAATGTACGTGTATTTTTGACCTTGTAATTATAAAGGCTTATAACATAATATTAGTTTCTCTGTTATTCAAACTTAAATAAAATGGTTGTCACTGCCTTAAAACACTGTCAATTAATACCTATTTTAAACAGAATATTTCATTAGGGTAAAACCTTCTAAATAGACACTTTAAATTTTACAACGAACATATTTTATTCTTTTGATAATTAATTACAGCTTGACATTCTCAGGGGTGATTGTGAGCCCAAGTCAAAATTCCAGAAAAGTTCTTGAGTTAAAAAAAGAAAAGAAAAAGGTTTAATTGAAAAAAATTTAAACAAGGTTTTTTTTCCCCTTTTTCTCAATATTTCTTAGTATACTTAAAATATATTTAAAATGTTACACATACCTATACCACTTACACATACCTATGATGACCTGGAGAAGCAATTAAAATTTACAAATATGTCTTTCTTTCTTGAGTTTATGACTATAACTATTTACTGATAAAAAATGAACATTAATCATAAATATAAGCTTATAAAGTATCTCTCTGGCTCTCCCTTACAAACAAATAAAATAAACTGTGTTTTTAACTTCCACCTTTGAAAATTTGATTTCCGGGAACTTCTGTGATCAATGATTTTTTGAAACTTCCGGATCACTGTTCGCGAAAAATCCCGAAATCCGGATTTTTTCCGGAGCCCAATCAGTCCTGCATTTTCCATTATTGCAGAGCACAAAATATCTCAGTGTTTTATATTACCTTTCCGAATAAGGACTGCATTAAAACAAAAACACTGATAAAAAAAATAATATTTTAGTCGAAACAAGAAGAGTCATTAAATACATTGAGCAAGAGGAGTGAAAAACATAGAAAATAATATCTCAGTCGAAGCAAGAGGAGTCTCCTTTGAGCATATGATGCTCAAAGTAGATTTTTTTAAAGTTTTTGACTCAAAGGCATTTTTGACTTTAAAATTCTAAATCTTATTACATAAGTTTCTCTGTTATTCAAACTTTAACAGAGTGGCTGTCACTGTCTCAAAACACTGCCGATTAATATCTTTCATAAACATAATAATCCATTTGCGCTAAAAAATTGTTGCAGGTTTCATTAATTTAATCACTTTGCTATGAAAATATTAATTTTAAATGACAAAGATTGGTGATGTTAGAATTAAAAAACAATTTTAACCAATAAGAAAAGTTATACAATAACTATTAAATAATTTATTTCTTGAATAATACATTTTATTTGAACAAAACAGGCTTTTAGCAACATCTTTTCAACTATCTTTGGAAAGTACTCCTACAAAGAATCCCTTTTTATTAAGAGAAAGTCTCTTTTCGATTCGGTCAAGTACCAAGTTTGGTTGCTACTCTTTTTTCTTCTTCTAGTGTATGATTATTAAAACTCAGTGAAAACCATGAATCTAGAATACATGATCAAGTTTATTTGCAGTTCTGTTTACCTTTCCTTTGACTTTAATTGAATTAAGAGTGAAACTTAATTCCAAATTTATAAATTGAATGTTACAAGTTTTCTGAAGTTATTTTAAATAAAACCTAATATGAACTGTGGCATAAAATATGAAATAGGCATAAAATATAAAATAGGCATTAGGCTTATATAACACTAATCGTAAAATAAATCTAAGAAAAGAAGTATACTGCAAGACTGTCAAAAGTGATTCTTACAAAGGGATAAGCTTAAAATATCTTACCAGCAGATTCCCTTTGCAAATTTAGAGCAGTCTGTATGATTGTTGCAGAACTGGAGAGCTTGTTTTCAGACTGGATTTCAGATTTGTTGATTTCATTCAGTTCACTTTCCTTCTGTGGCTCAGTGATCGGAGCTCTTGTTGTACGTGCTTTTGGCTTTTTTGCTGGGGTTTTTGCAGATATGAATCTACTCCTCGTTGAGCTTTTGTTGTTCTCTTTCACAGAATTTGAACTGCTGAAGAGCCTTGAACTTCTTCTAACATGACTCAAGGGAACAGGCGACAAACTGGAAATAAAAACAGATATTTAAATAAAAAATTACTAATCCCGAAAAATTCAACTTAAAAAGACTTATTCCATTAATAAATTTAAAAAAAAAAAAAAAATTATAACTGCATACCAAAGCTATAACAGATAGAAATCAGGATTAACCATAATTTTATTTCGTAAAACTTCTGGGATAATTAAAGACAACTCTAACTTACTCAAAAGTAAAGCTTTTTAAAAAGACTTTAGTGAGAGAGACTAAGTTGTATTATTCTAAACTGAGTATCAATTTACTTTTATAAATTACTCCTTTCAAAAACAATTTTTAATATGTAATATGCAATTAATTTTGCATTTTCTCTCATATTATCCTTGCATATAAGTTTTTTTTTTTTTTTTTGTTTCTTTTGTTTTGGAAATACGTACAATTATATTAAAAAAAAATAACATGAAAAGATAATTTATTTATGCTTATTTCAAAAATACACATGAAAACTTTAAAAAATACAAACAAAAACTTTTTAAACATACCATAAAGCTAAAAATTTAAAGGTTACAGAACATCATTTAAGTTGGATTCACTAACGTTAGCATTATTATCATACAGATCCCACTTAACCCTCATCTGCTGAGCACTACAAAAAAAAAAAAAAAAAAAAAAAAAAAAAAAAAAAATCACCTTCACCCCATCCAAGGAATTTAAAATTCCATTTTTAAAATATTTTCAATAACTATTTACATTTGAATTTACTTTATTAATAATTTATTAAAGGATTCTTTGTAGGAATTTGAATTTACATTTTGCCACGAGCCTAGTGTCGTTTGACGCATGACATCTATAATAATAATGAACTTACCAACAGCGGTAGACATATTACCCAACATACCAGAAATTTGCTAACTCTTAATAAAAAACAGGGGGTCGACTTACACAATGAGATATATGGTATAATTGATTCTTAAAAGGATTGACTGTAATATGAAAATAAAGCGCAATACAATTTTAATGCTTCTTATTTTTAAATGACACAAATCTATAGTAAAAACCTAAGAATTCTTATCTTAAACAAAAATGCTGCAAAATTGTGAGAGGAAAAAAATTTAATCACACAGTTCTGCACTGTGGCTTGCACAGTAGACAAAAATGAGTTTCATGAGAATAAGGCATGTCATTATTCCTTGGACTATAATAGATGTCTGAGCAAGCAGATCCTCCCCATTACAGATTACAAATGCTCAGAGCATTCTGGAATACACATGAGCTTCACAATAAAATCAGTTGCATTTCTTTGCATTATTATGTAGAACACTGTTACAATATCATTTGGGATTTGGTTCATATAAACTCACATTTTTTTTTAAAATCAAAAAGCTTATAGATATACACATATATATTTTAATAGGCATTTAAAAAGCTGGTCACTGGCAGCAGCAATTTAAAATGAGAAAAAGAAATATCTTACCTTGTTTGGGGTGTCTGTGATATATTTTGATTACTGTTGTTATTATTGCCAGACTGACTAAAGATTTGCAACTTGGGTGGAGGATTTATATCTTGACTTCTTCTAGTCATGGGAGGCTAAAAATTACAATAAATCATTGTAAAGACTTAATACTAAATGGCAAGTTAAAAGCTATAGTATAAATAATGCAAAGCAATTCTGATTCAATAAAGAATAAATCTTAACCAGTGACTCCAGAATTCAATTAAGATACCACAATACAAATAATTATACTGGGAATAAAAAAACGATGCTTGTAGCAACTGAAACTGAACATAAAAAGTTCAAGATAAATATAAAAATTAAAATGACACGTAACATATCAAGAATCTTTTAAGAGTAACAAGATTTGTATTTTTTTTATTTGCACACATATCCAGCAATTCCGAAAAATAGATTTCTCCAGTTAATAGCTTTTAAGATAAAGATCAAAGCATATGTCGTTCAATAAAAAATAAAAATTTAATAAATGAAAGGAGATAAAAATATATTATAAAAAAAATTTTGTTGAAAAAAAAAAAAAAAAAAAAAAAAAAAAAAAAAAAAAAAAAAAAANAAAAAAAAAAGCAGACATATTCTCTTTTATCAATAATGATGTCCTTTTTAACTTTTTTTGTTTTGTTTGATGTGATGAATTAACAACGCAGATACTTGAAGAAAAAACATAAGATAAGATTAATAAACAAGCCTTAGATTTGAAAAAATAAATCTTACTGAATTAAAAAAATACAAAAAAAAAAACAACTAATATAATGCCTGACTTCATACATTCCTCTCAAATACTTTTAGTTGTCAAGAACTGCTTTTTCCTTCATTTTACGAAGTGTACTCATAAAAATCATTATAAAGGAGAAATAAAACAGATTTATTTATTGGATATAGAACTGTCATGTAATGCTTAACTAACATTTTGAAAAAAAGGTTTAATTCAACTTTCCTCTACGTAAACAAAGATGAAAATATCTTTAATCTATAGTGCTCACATAATATAACTTATAATATAATTTTATTCCATCATTTAAAATATTTAACTAAGGCTTGCCAGTTTTTTTCTTTTTTCAGTAATAGACATCTAAAATACAATTTATTATAAATTTCAAGAAAATTGTTAGTCTTACTTTTTATTGAATAGCCATTGATAGAATAATTTTAAGTACACTAATGCTGATTGTATAGAGTAAGATATAAAAGATATTTTTTTCTTAAAAACTGATCAGTTATGTTTTGAGAAAAAGCAAAATTTATTTTCGAGCCTCAAGAATTAGTTTTTAGAACTTTTAATGTGAATTTTAAAATTTTTAGAAACATTTGACATAATATAACTACTAGAAATTTTTAAGCTTCAAAACTATTGTTCCTAATATGCCATCAATAAAGAGCCATCAATATACCTTTTTCAAACTTCCCTTTTCAGATCCCTGAATATCATGATCTTGAATTGTATTAGGTGAAGAAAATGGTAAGATTCCAAAGCTAAAACAAACAAAAAAAGGAAAATATATAAATAAAAGTTAAAAATACAGAAAAAACATGGAAAAAGATTAAAATATTTTTTAAAGGTAAAAATATTAAAAAATTATTTAATTCCTATAAAAATTACTTATTTTTCTTAGTGTTTTTATATATATATATATTTTCTGGTTTTAAAAAAATAAGCTAAAACTTTTTATGCATGCTTTTTTTTCTTCATATTTTTAGATTTGTTTTTTGAAATTAAAAATATAAAGTTAAAATCATTTATCTAAAATGAAATCTTTTTCCATAGGTTGGTTAAATATTTGAAAAAAAGAAAAAAAAAAGGACAAATAACTGATACTCTTGATAATTATACATCATTTTAATTTCACTTTCTATTAATCTTATAAAAAGACGGAAGACCATTAATTACTCATTTCAGTTTTATTTTATTAAAGTTAAAAGTCAGATGAAATATCAGTTTTTACTGATTATTAATATTTACTGATTAAAAATTTATAATAGGTAATATAGATGCTTAATAAATATAGCAATAAATGTGTGTGAAAACAAAAAGAGTAATAAACTTGTTCCTTTTATATTACTGTTGCATTTATATTTTATAAAGTTTGAGTTAAAAATTATAAAAACTTATGTCTTTAATAGTAACGAAGATTCAAATTTGTATTTGTGACAATGTGTTATTTTAACTTATTTTAATTTTATTATATGTATTTTATATTAACTCTTTGGATTTATTTCTATTTTTAAGTTTATACAACACTATTTAATAAATAAAATTATTTACATAGTAAAGCCCTAAAATTTATGCTTACCAAACCCTGCCATGAATTGGCAAGCAGACACAGCAGCTAACATACTGAAAAATAATTCATGTTCTGCCCCTACTCCATTCAAAATGAATGAATTGAAATAACAGGTGTAGTTGAAATAGTTCACCTTGAGTCATTATTCCATTCCCGGGCTACTATTATATTCAAAGGGCAAACGGCAGAAATGACAGATATGATTTTAAAAAAATAAGAAAGAGTAGGAAATAACAAGATAAAAAAGAGGTGGGGGCCGAAATAATAGGAGGTCAGTGGCACAAAATGTAAATGTTTATTTTTAAAATTTAGAAGATGAGGCTTAATGCAGAAGAGTTGGCAGGTATGCTAATATTCAGCAGACTTTTTGCTTCGCAAATTGAAAATGTTAAAAAAAAAAGGTTTAAGAATGCTGACAGACATGAATAATAAAAGAGAATTCTTACAGATAAGTATAGTTGTGCATCACACGAGTTACTTTACAGATTAAATGTGAACATATTTCACATGTATTTTTAGAAGTTCCTAGAAATTAATAGCCATACCTTGAATTAACGCTTCCTAAGGTATAAATACTTTTACTATCTCGTTTAAAAAGTCTCACGTCACTGTTAAGGACGTTTTGAATTTCCAATGACACATACCTGGGAGTAATAGGGGAAACAGTATTCTGACTGCCAAATAAATTCCGATTGTTTTTAGCTATCTTTTTGGCATTCTTCGCTAAGTTGTTGGGAAAAGGTACAATTGAATTTTCTGGAGTGAACAATTCAATGCTCATTTCTGGAGTTGACTTTAAAATTAAAGCTGCCAGTGGAGTTTGTCCACTATAAACTGATGTTATTGGCGATCCAGGAATACCACCAAGCTTATTAGATAGTTGACTAGAGTCCTATAAAATAGAAAAAATGCTGTTCAGAATCATGAAAATTTAGACACGATAAGATTGAAAATACCATACATGTACTTACTTGGATAATATCATTGCATATGTTAGGAGTATCTTTGATGTAGTTAATTGTGTTTGGCACTGGAGTTTTATTCACTAAATTTACTAATGGATTTGTGCCATGACACATTGAGAGGTGCTCCACATTAGTAATGCTAAAAATTTTGGATGGGTCTGGTTTTTCCCCTAAAAAATACAAAATTTGATAAAGAAAAATTGGAAATAAATATCTAAATTATTTTGTCAATACCCATATATTTAAAATGATCATTGAAACTTTGAAATGTGGGAAGCAGAACTTACAATGCAAAAATAAAGGGCAGGGCTTGCAAAAATCATTATTTTTTGGGGAAAAAAATTGGATTTATTTGCTCTGGGATATTTTACTTTTTAAATTTATTCACCAAATCATCCGATAAAATGTATTAATAACACTTATTATTTAAAATCAATAATTTAGCTAAAAAAGTTAATATTTCTAACATTTTAATCTTTCAAAAATTATAATTTAATTAATACAAACAAAACACTGGAAAAATAAAATTAGTTATTTTCGTTTAAGCTAAACATCCTAAAATTTTGCAGACAGGTAGGCAATTTGACAGATACCTAATAATGAATAAATCAGTTTCAATCAGAATACAAAAAAAATTATTTTAAGTTTCTGTGGTCAGAAGTCTTTTACATGGTTGATAAATAATAATTTAATAATATAGCACTATATAATACTATAGCACCTGTATTGAACTAAACAAAACACTTAAGGGGTATAATTGAAATATGTTTCTTAACAGCAAGTTACTTTACACAGAGCTAATGAAAAATTATAATTTAAGAATTTCAAGCTACTTTTAGTTTCTAATTTTATTTATTAGTCTATTTTGAAATATAATAATTTACAGACATTTTCCTTCTTCTATTTTTTTTTTGGATAACCTTCCTCATCAATGAAATTAAACTTGAAAGAGAATCACCCTTAAGAATATATTTGTAAATAATGTATAAAATCACTTTTTACTTAAGATTTAAAAAAATTATTCATAAAAAAAAAAAAAAAAAAAAATAGCTGATTTTCAAATTATACAACGATGGTAAGAGGTGATAATAATTGAGATAATGTACAGGACCCGTTATTCGGAAATCAGAAAACAAGAACGAAATTCGATAAATTTTCCCGCCATTTTTAAATTTTTTTTTCCCTCTTAAGATTTTAGGATTTTTTTTTTTTTTTTTTTAAATCTGTCATACGTTTGTATTTAACCANAAGATGTTTACCTTGCCATCATTTTGGAAATAATCATTAGTGTATTACTTCATCATTTTTTCTTTTTTTTAAGATTATTTTCAAATATTTTATTTATTGTTTTTTTTAGTTTGGAACAATAAAAAAAAAAAAAAAAAAAAAAAAAANAAAAAAAAAAAAAAAAAAAAAAAAAAAAAAAAACGGTTTCTTGTATAGATTCAAAAACCCGGGAAAATCAGTTATCCGGAATAGCGATGGTCCTGATCGTTCCGGATAATCGGTTCCCTACTGTATATGCAAAATAAAAAATTACATTTTTTAAAATAACTAGTTTATGACTTAGTGCTGTGTATGTTTGCTGTCAATGGTTATGATCGAGCTATAACAATAGCAAAATTCTGTTGTTGAGATGTTGATTTTGATAACCCTCTGAATGACCATTTTAGATTGGTTTTTTGTTAAATTTGCCTTTAAAATTGCTCTACAAAAATTAGTCATATGGGCTGAGATCAGGAGAATAATATGACTTTGATGACTTATATGTATTTAGAAGTGCAGTTTCTCATGTAAAATACTGAGCAAGAAAACACACGTTAAAAAGAGAGAGAGAGAGAGAAAAAATAAACACCAAAATACTCTGCATTTAACTATTAAATTTTAAATGAATTCAGTCAACAATTTAAAGTAGTCAAGTTTTGTTTAAATAAATTATAAGTTGAATCTGGAAAATGAAAACTTTGATGCTCACCTAAATTTACAAGAGATTCAAATGAAGACCATAAGAAGGGATTCAGTTTCAAGCTTTTCCTAGGAAAAAAGAACATTTTAGTATTTTAGATAACACAAAAAAAAAAAAAAAAATATCATTCAGTAACTTACAGGGACAAACTTTTTGGCAGATTTTTAAAATTCAACAATGCTTTCAGCATCAAACTTATTACCAGAAGTTAATAAGCCCTGGTAATGTTGTTAATTTCAAATTGTTATTTTTTAGGAATTTTTTACCATTTCCGATTACTTTTGCATAAATTATATTTAAGCTGGTTTTGTCATTGTACTGAGACTGTTTCCGGTATAGTCAGCCGTAGTATTGAGTTCCCATCAAAAAACAGGTTAAAACAAATAGGTAAGAGAGGACCCTCTAATGGGCTACTGCATCATTTACCAGCCATTTAGATGGAGATTGTTCGGCAATATGGTGTTGAAAAATTTTAGTGTGATTTAAGTGAGATTTCATTATTTTTATTTAATGAGTAATGTTTACCTTTTCAAAATACCTCTTTTTAATAAAAACCAATGCAATTTATTCAGTTATATTTTTTTTAAGACTAGTGTTGCCTTTGGTAGCACATTTTCGACAAGATTACAGTTAACCCTGCTTTATATACTATAAAGATCATTGTCACTGAAAAAAAATAATAATCTTGGTCTTGTTAAGGTTTAAGTGCAGACTAACGTGTCAAAAAAATATGTTTTTACGAAGATTTTTTTGGAAAAGGACTGTCCAATAACTACATATATATTTGGAAAAAACAAATGTTGAAGCACATGTCTCCATATTTTTTGAAGTATAATCTATGTGCAAAATGAAGTGGGTTTTTAAAGTCTGCTCTTTAATTGAGGGCAAGTGGGGTATTTGGTTACAAATATAGCTCAGTCCATTTTCAAAAGATTAATACAAGAGAAAATGTCTCTATAACACATGAATTTTTTTTTTTTTTAATATAAACAGGACTCCCACTCAAATTCAGAATTTTTTTCCCCTTTACTATTCCAGGTATATTCAGACAAATTTCCATGAAAATCCAGACTATATTTTATCAATACCATGATTTTTTTTTTTAGAAGCTTTGAATCTTTCATTCGTAATTGCCGAATATTAGATTATGTGAGAAAAAAAAAACTCATTGAATGAGAATGGCAACATGGCAGTTGCACTAAAATGTGACTAATATTTGTAATAGATGCTAGAATTATTTAAATCTTATCTCGATAACTGATTACTGTTACTGACAATTCTAAAACTGGTTAATGATATAGAAATTTTCCAGTTTTTTGTCATAAAAAAAATCAGTTTCTGATTATTACTTGCTTTTTAGAGTCAAAATAAAATTCTTTGACAATTCCAGGTTCTTCCTGTTCTCCCTGATCCTCAGGAGCCCTGAATAAATCATAAAAAAAAAAATAATAATAATAAGAATATGATAAGTGTTGTACCTATAAGCCTCAGCTGCTTTTGTAAATCTTGAAGTCTTATAGCATATGTGACCTAATAATTGTACAGCAAAAGAAGCAATATCACCAAAATCAGTTACAATATCATCTAGATTCTTAGTTTTCGCAAGGGCGTTGCCAGCAATAGCAAATTCTCCCTCAGAGAACCTAAAAACAGAATAATCCAAAAAATCACAAAACATAACACTTCAAATAAATTGGAATTACAAGTTCTGTTTTCATTCATACACGACAAGCTAAAATAAAAATTTAAAACTATGATACACCGTTTAATGTAGTTAAAATCAGTATTTAGTCAGCTTAAAGTTAAAGCAGAAAAATAAAACCATTAGAATATTACACCAAAAAAATTAGTATAATTGCAAACTTACTTTTAAATACTTAAATGAAATTAAAAAGAAATAGAGAGGGGTTATTTTCTCAATTAGTTAAACTTTGCATTCTGAAGCAATATTCCTCATTAAAATATTTATTTTTATGTAATGGTATGTTCTGCTCAGAACACTCACAAGTAGAAAAAATATGTACCAGATACAATTTTAAAAAAAAGTAATAAAATGAAATATAAATTGTCCTTACTGTCCAGAGTACCCAACACACATTTCTCAACTTTTTATGTAATTTACAACATTAAGAAAGAGTTAGAGTTAAATTCATACACATTCTGTCATAGTATGACTATCTACCTGAATATTTATAATCAATGTTCTTAGAATAATTTTTGCATATTTTGTTCTGAAGATCATTTTGTATGTGTCCCACTCTTTTCAAAACACTTTAAAGGGCTCTAGTTAAATAAAATATAACTTCCATGTTACAAAGAACAGTTTTCTCTACAGAACAGTGCAGTTCCATTGCTATACCATTTCCTTTAGAGGCAATAAGCTTAAATTTATCTTAAAAAATCTGTCAGTAGTTTTATTGAATGCAATTACTGTCGCCATAATTTTTATCAAAGAAATTGCGAGCAAATAAATTTTTTTTGATTTGTCATAACTTATTTTTACAAAATATGGATAGCTTAATTAAAGAAATGAAATAGGTTTACTTCTACTTGGCAAAAACTATTGTATTGTAATTACTGTCCTCACTTGAAATGCACTTTAAGGCGACAATAATTACCAAATGATCCATATTTACTTAATTAGTTGAAAAACTTTATGAGTGCAATTTAATTGGTTATGTTATTACATATTTAGTTTCTTTTTTTAGAAGATTGGTTATGTTTTTTTTACAACAATGAAAAAAATTATTATTTAACAATAAAAACGTTATCTGTAAACCTAAGAGTACTAAATTTTAAAACTTAAGAGCAAATTTATGACTCATACTACCATTTTTAAGAAAAAGTAAAAATAATGTTTTAAAAAGTGTTGAGATAGTTATGAATGCATTTAGTTTTCTGTTCCAACTATAGTTTGATTTATAAAATTAAAATGTTAACTTTTAGAGTAAAACTGAATAACAAAAATATTTTTTTCAACAGTAGCTTACTCAGCATTTTTGTGTTCCATTTTGATTTTAGTAAGAACTGAATATTCAAGTAATTTACAATATAACTTTAAAAACTTAAACTTCAATTTCTAAATTTTGAGCTTTAATTTTTTTTTTTGCCAGTTCTTATTAAAACTTTGAAAATAAATAAGAATTTTTTTTTTTTTAATTGTATAAATATAGGTGATAGGTTAAATTGTATTAATATAGGTGATAAAAAGAATGAAATGAAATTTCTTCCAGAGTCAAAAGTTAACTGAAATTTTACAGGTTTGTTTGGATTAAAAGGTTAAGGATTAAGATGCACAAAAAAAGAAACATCGTGCCATTTAAAAAATACAATCGAAACCAATTTTTAAACCATAAATAATATAGTGTTTCTAAAATTATTATACAGCAAATGGTGTAGTTAAGAAAAAAATATATTTAAAAATGACTAAAAAGGATGTTTTTCAGATAATTATCATCAATGTCCCTTTTTCTAATCATTACCTCCATACACAAAAACACATTTTGAAACAAGAATTCTGGTTTTAAATTATTATGCAATTGCTTACAAAATGTGGTCTAACTTAAATACAAAAATATAAGTGATAGAAAAAGATGCTCATATAATTACAAAGATGTTTTTGCTATGGAAAAGTAAAAATTCTTATTTCTTAGAAATTTTAAATAAAATCTATTTTCTGATAAAATATTAAATATGTCTTCAAGTGTTTTTAAAGCGTTTAAAAAAAAAGAGACAGTAAATAGATTTTTCACATTTCAAAATTGTTAATTAAATATTTTTCCTCCATTGCTGGTCATACTTAAATTTAAGATCATAATGTAAAAGTTATCCATTCAGTTATTGAGATGAATTTTTCCTAATAGTCTGAAAATCACCACAGTTACCTTTGCCTTTATATATATATATTTCTTATCTAATTTTATTTGCAATAAAAATTTCCTAATAGTCGGAAGAAAAAAAAAATCTCAACAAGGTAGGTATTATAAAGTATACGATTGTAATAAATAGAAATTGATTGTACAGTACAGAACCCGTTATCCGGAAATCAGAAAACCAAAAAACCGGAACGAAATTCAATACATTTTGCCACCATTTTTTTTTTCTTCTTCATTAGATTTTAGGATTTTTTTCTTTCTTTTTTGAAAGATGTTTACCATACCATCATTTTTAAAATAATCGTTACTGTATTACTTCATCGTTTTTTCTTCTTTGTAAGATTATTTCCTAATATTTTTTTTTAGTTGGGTTTAACAATAAAGAAAAAAAAAAACTGCTTTTTGTAGGGATTCAGAAAACCAGAGAAATCAGTTATCCGGAATAGCGATGGTCCCGATCGTTCCGGATAATCGGTTCCCTACTGTATTTTCTTTTTGTTAAGAATTTTTAAAGATGGGTTACTTTTTCAGTGGAAATAGTTAGCTTATTTCATCAATAGATGGCTGTACTGGATAGCTCTGCTTATTTTCGAATTCTTGTGAGTGTTTATGGTGTATAACATGATTTGCCTTCAGGTGGCACCACCATTATAAATTTAAAATTTAATCACAATAGTATTATGTATTGGAAATTTTAATTATCCTTTTAAACTGGGATTTTTGGTTTGAATTATGTGTATTTAATTAGTATTGTATTATCACTTTTATAATGTATTATTTAATTTGGGACTGTTTTCTCAAATGGAATTTTTTTTGTTGTTCTGACGTCCACTGGTTGTGTAGCGGCTAGTGGAAGGAAAAGAGGTCAGTCTAAGATTCTTTCTCCTTGCTGACATGAGAATAAAAAGGTTGTGAAGAGTGACTGAAGGAGGATGGACTAAGACGGTACCGCTGAGAGGATGATGAATTAATGCCAGAGTCGCTGAGAAAGATGGTCTAAGACGGAACCGCTGAAAGAATGATGTATTAAAGAAGAGTCGCTGAATGAATGGACTAGGTCGGAGCCCATGAGTGAATGAACAGGAGCCTTGAGAAAAGTTAAGCCGAAGCCTCTAAGTTGATGACTGAAAGTGATGAGCTGAGTGCCGTTATGTTTGAGTCCGTTGGCCTATCCAGAGCGCACCAATGCTGAAAGTCTGTTGTTCCACTTGCGCAAACTGCCTTACTAGAAGGAAGCCAAGCCTAGAGAAGTTTGAAGAGTTGGAGTGCTGTCTATCAGAAACTGAAAGGTTGATTTGATCCAAGAGTCAATACCGCTGGGCATTCCGTATTTATAAACTCTAAGTTTGATTTTAGTACTGTTTTAAAAGAATAATTTACCCTGACTTTTAATTGCTTCTACGATATTTTAAGATAAGTCTTTTATTTTTAATCGGGTTTACAGGATTAGAGAATATTGTGATTTTTATTTTTAATTGCTTTAGTAGATTTTAAGATAAGTGTGATTTTTATTCTTAATTGTTTTTACTGGATTTTGAGTATTAGAGTATTGAGCCTTGTATTTTTAATTACATTTTATTGAAAATATAGTTTCGTATTGATAAAATTTAAACTTAAGTTATGTATAGTTTGGAAATATGCGATATTTACGTGATAGCATTTATAAATGGTTTGAGTTGTTTTTGTTTGAAAATTAGAGTTTTAATAAAATTGGTTGTAAATGTTAAATGTTTCAAATAATTACCTTTGTTGAACCTGGGTAACTGTTACCAAAGTTAATTTATTGATCACAGCATAATCAAAGTTTTAAGGGTAACAGTACATATTAAAATTTAAAACACAACAAACTTAGGCTCTGAAATACTTTAAACACAGAAAAATTCTGGACAACCAANTTGATGTTGATTGATTTTGCGCCTTTTTGAAATAATGCGCCCATGGCATTCGCCATACTTGCCATACCCTAGATACGCCACTGCACAGTGGTTGTCATATCAAGCTTTGACTAAACACAACAAACTTAGACTCTGAAATACTTTAAACACAGAAAAATTCTGGACAACCAAAATTTTACCATTTAGAAAAATCATTAGTGATTGGCTAAAGAAGTTTATGTGCAATATTAAAAGATGCTGTTTGAAAAAATTATATTTTTAAACATTAAATTTTACATAATATGCATACTTTATTGACACACACACACAAAAAAAAAAACTGTATTAGTCAGTTTTGTTGTCCTAATTAAATGCAGCCTTTTTTGCCAGAATGCATTCAGTATTTATGTAATAAAAATAAATATTTTTAGTAATTTTATGTAGCCACAATATAGCTACCTCACATTATAATCTATTTTTGCTTGGGCCACAGTGGTTGTCATATCAAGCTTTGACTATGCTTGAAAAAAAGATTAAAATTACCAAAGTATTAAAAAAACAACTAATCACTCTAAAGTTGGAATACCAATTGGAAATCCTGAACCCTCAAAAGTTTAGGAAGCACTGTTCAATATACAAAATGTATTATTTAAAATAATTAAATATCTTACTGTTTGAAGATAATAACATTTTAAACAAATTTACTTTTTTAAATCCACACAGCATCTAGCAAATAGAAAGCGACACTGAGGACTATGGCAACCTTTACGCTTTAATACAGAATAGGCAGCGCCTGTTCTTCCAGCTCTATAGTAGCATGTTGCCAATAAATACAAAGCATCATCTGTGTTCACTAAATAAATAAACAAAGTCAAACAAAGTTGCACAAATAACATATCAAAACAACGCAAAAAAAAAAATCATAAATACCTTCAGCATAAAGCCTTTCTGCTATAAAAATAGCATCTTCATAAGCATAATGGTTTAAGGCGTGCCACACAGCAGCCTAAATAAGACAAAGAAAAAAAATTTTTTTTCAAACAGATTTAATAAAAATTTTAATTTCCATGTATTGATTCTACAATAATTCACCTTTAGTTTACAATTATTACAACAAAGAAAACTTTAATGTTACAAAAAAAAACAAGCAACATATTACGAGATTCAAGGAGACTCTCAAAGAAAAACAAACCTTTGATTTTCACCAAAAAAATCTAAAAATTTAAGTTTAATTCAATTACGATTAGCTTATTTATCTCCGCCAGAAAAATCTGGCATATTCGCATCTTTCAACATGCACAGTAATATATTTTCACTTTGAAAACCTTCCATTTTCAGTCATCTATTTCCAGGGTTGTAAAAAACCAGTTATATTTCAGAAAACCCCCAAACCAACAGGTTTTTTTTTCTGGGGCTTTATAAGGTTTTTTAAAGGTTAAATTGGGTTTTATTGTCATTTACATTGATAAATCAGCAATCACATTTTTAATGAGAGTAATAGGGTCCAATTTTTGCAAGATTTACCTATTCTGTTTTAGAAAAGATTTATAAAAAACTAAATGCTAAAGTGAAGAAATGAACGATTTAAATTTATTTTAATTCAAATAAAAAACATCAAATTTCAAGGTAGATGTTTAACTCCAAAATTATAAGTATGCATTACATCAGTGTTCCCCAACCTTTTTATCACCACGGACCTGTCAATGTTTTGTGTTTTATTTATATTTACAGTTATGATAATTTTTTTTTATTGAAACTAATTGAAAGAGAAAATAGTAGCGGCGTTTTTCTTTTCTTTTAAAACATTAAAAAACTTACGCCACTGCCTTCGGGGCCCCTTTTTTCTTAAATATATAAAATTTTAATGAAACACAAATATTTTTAATTTGGGGTATAAATCTAGGAATTTAAATTCAGTTTCAATGAAATGGGTTGGAGAACACTGCATTACATTACTTTTCTAACTGCGTTATTGTGTCCTATGTTAATCACAGTGAAAGAGCTTCTAGAACTAGTTCCAGTATTTCAGCAAGGAAACATCAGAACAAGAACAAATATTCCACCAGTTAAAAAGGAGGATATTTTAAAAATATCATTTCACACTGTATGTAATTAGACTACCAGGTTAGGAAAATAGTATTTAAAATAAATTTTCATAAACATATTATCTCTTATTTTATTGAATTGTGGTACTAATAACATTTCATATGGTACATTTTAATAACAGTAGTTTCAATTGTATTCTGAATTAGTTAAAATGTTTTGTAAGAATACATTATTTCCACTCTCTAATAATATACTTGTTTTTAAAAAGCTTAATTAAAAATTTAAAAGCACTGAATATAGAAATAATGGAAATACAAATATTACAATGAATGTATTATAAACTTAACATCCAGAGTAGACTTGTTAACAATAAAATGTAATTATGAAAAAACCTACTAGGGCATTTTCAAATGAGTTTCCTTTAAAAAACTCACCCAGGTTTTTTCAGGTTGGGTAAAATAAAAACCCTGTGCATTTCCCACATGATTATAAATATTTGATACAATGTAGAACACAGTATCCCTGCGACAGAATCTTTTCGGACTTTCTGCAACAAACTTCCCTAGCACTAATATTCTTCTGCAAATTACTTTTACTAATGATTACTAACTTAAAGTAACAGAAGCGTTGCGTATACAAAAGGGGAAAAAAAACTACTCGTATAGAATAAAACTGTATATATGTAATAGTTTTTTTTTAAAAATTGTAAACATAATATGTTTTTAAATCCTACTTTATGGGCAATATTCTCGAATTTTAGGTGGAAAAATGCCGCACTAATTATTTTCTTTCTTGGATTTAGTAAATCATCATTACAATATTCCAAAAAAATTTTAAATCGTTAAAAACTTGACAATCACTATCTATTGATAAAAGAGATCAAGAACGTAATCTAACTTGTTTGGTATGATTAAGTTTTAAATTTAATTGTTCTCCCTAAGGCAGCAGTTTTAATTTTATAATAATCACAGGCATAGTAGAAATTTTTGAACTGCTGACCTTATATAAACTTATGTTTAGAAATGCTTGTCTGAAGGTAAAACGGAAAAAATAATTTTGCAAACAGACAAAAATGCTTCATATATAAAATTATAATTTCAATTAACTTTTTTAAATTCATTGGGATTGTGATAAGAAAATTACTATTTTGATTATTGAAAACAGCCTATGACTATTTTTGTAAAATTATACCTAGCAGACATTCGTCGTTATTAAAGAATTTAGTATGAAATAAATACAATCTTTTGTTAAAATGAATGCCATATACATTTGTTTCTCCAAACTAGTTATGCTAAACAAATCTAATGTCTAAACTTTAATATTCTCACACAAATAATATGAATATTTCAAGGGTAAATGTTATTCTGCGTAGTACATAGTATTTTAATCAAGATCATATGGAATACTTAAGCTTAATAATTTTATTAAACGGAAGTCAACTTTTGAAAAGAATGATACAAATAAAAATAACAGCAAAAGCTGACCTCTATTCAAATTTCTTGGAAATAACGTTAGTAAAATGGTGACTTGCGTAGTAAATGAAATGTGTTTTAGACATCAGAAACATATTATATAAAATTCAGTAATATTTTAATGAACAAAAAGCTGATGAAATATACAAATTAACGAAACTAACGGTTTGGTAATGTGAAAAAGTAATCTTTATAGTACCTGGACAGGCTCTTGAATTATCATGTTAGGTCCTAAATTTATAAAGAAAACTAAAATCCCTGTTTTAATAAAATAGAATAAATGTAAAGTTCATCACAGTAAGTAAATATTTACATAAATTATGCATATTTTAAAGTTACTGGCGAGCAAAATTTTATAAACACTTTCATATTTTATTTAAATAATAAATTATACAACATATATACGTTTTTACAGAGGGCGCTGCAGTTCTTTTATGATGATTATTAGTTCACTTCTTTTCCACCACTCCTTGGCATTAATAATAACGAAATTTATTTTTTCTTAAAAATGTAGTAAAGTAAGATAAGTTTACTTTGATATAAAATTTGAAAAAATTAACAGTTATTTTGTATTTCAAAAAAATTAGAATTGATGAGCAATTTACACTATTCATCGATATATCTTTGATCGATTTTTTCGATTGAATTCATCGTATCGATGAACCGTTTATTATATTTGTTTTCCTGTCTTCGTGATTCAAATATGGCGTGTTTTTGAAATTTAAAAAAATTACCGCTTGAAATTACCATTTCTTTTTCTTTGTTCTCTTTTATAAATATTTTGGCATCCATGTGAAATTTTGTTTTCTTTTGAAGCATTACATTAAATCATTTATAGTTGATAATTAAGTTACGAAACATTGAAAGATATGCTTGTGAAAATTCGGAATGGTTTTAAAATTGAAATTAATATTTTTCCCCAGGAACTTCTTTTCTTCTTCAAATGTGAAGGCATGATTCTGAAATTCGATTGTTTTTGAATCCAATTTTTACTTTCACCTCTTTTATTTTTCAAATTATGAATCGAACAATCAAGTTCTCCAATGTCTACAGACGTTGGAACATTTGTTCTGCTTATTCTAGAATTGTTCTTTGATCAGTCGATACCATGGTGTTCGATTTTTTTAAAGTATTTACGTAACATTCAAAAAAATATAAAAATCAATTGCATTTATTTATCTTTGCATTGTAGGAAAGTCGAAGTTATGATATTCTTTCATGATATTTTGTCAAAAAGTGTAAATTATAACAAATAATGAGTTAGTTAATTCAATCCAATGATTAGTTGTTTAAATCAATTCAGTGCAAAGCCTAAAAGAATGAAATCAATTGCTTTATTATTATTGTGCTATAGATCAAAGTAGTGTAAAATTTAGTGTCTTAATTTAAGAACTTTATATGTTTTTATTTCACATGGTCAATAGATGTACTGTGCTTATTTTTAATATTCTTATGACTTTTTGCATGCTGATTAATCGTTATTGTATTTTAATTTTTAAAGCAAAAGTAATGATTATGTAATTTGTTTATGATGTTATTCTTTTCTAGGTTATGATCTTTTGCTACTAATTTAGTGTCAACAATTATTGTTGTTAAATACCTCTCTTAAATTATTATTTTTTTAAATTTTTCTCTTGTTTGTTTTTATTTCTAGTGCATGTAAATAAAATTTTGATCTTGAAGTGTAACCTGATATACAAGCAAGGATATAGCAGGTTTTTTTTTTTTTATAGTGTGAAAATACTTATGACTTATTTTGAAAAAGTAAAATTCACATCACATTTTAAATGAGTAAGTCCAATTTAATAGGAATTTGGCATTTTTTGTTTAAAAAAATTAACTAAAACATTTCAATTCCATTAAAATTTCAATAAGTTTCTTTTTCTCTTGCACTGCCCATGATTTTACAGCATTATCAAATTTGATCTCACAAACATTTCCATTTTGTCATATAAATTCCGGTTTTTTGCCTCTATTATTCAAGATATTATTTCTAACTGTTTGTGAGTCAATTTCTTTTCTAATTTTTATTCTGTTGTAAGATTTCAAAACCTCTTTTAAATAAAGTCGTTTACGTGGTTATCGTTAATGCAGAGTTTAGACGTAATGGGAAACAAAGAAAATAATTTTTTAAATTTTTATATAAACATGTGTAAAGAAACCTTAGGACTGATATTGTTAGGATTATTTTCAGTATGTGAAATATGTTTGTAGTAGAGTTAAAAATCTCTGCACACCAGTCGCACGTTGTTTGTCGTATTGCTGAATTAGTTAAAAAGTAATTTCTCAAGTTCAAGTAATTTACCTCAACCCACAATCTAACTAGTATAATATCAATAACACAACAAAAAGAACAAAGTATAGTTGCAAAAAATAACTATGATTTAAATTGCTTTAATAATATTAATATGATTGGATGATCGGATAATATGAAATAATATTAATATGTTAAATTGTATGAAATAGCAGTTCAGAAAAACTCTGTTTATGGGCTGAGATTTTTTGCTTGGTTATTGATGATCATATGGATGGTTAACCTTGTAAAGCTAAGTGCAGATAGCGCTAGGGGTTAAAATTCCTCATAAGACTTTCGGGATACTACTTCCTACTGATATTTACACCTAAACTTAGAAAAACGCACTATCCAATATTATACTTGTAGAGCTTTCTATATAAAGTGTTCTTTTAATGTAACTTTCAACGAAACAAATAACAATTGAATTTAGAAGACTCCTCAAGCGTGCTATAATACTACCCAAAAAAATAACTAAATGTTCCATTTTACGCAACTATAGCCAAATAAGAGATATCACTCAAAACATGGCTAATCTTAAATTTTTTTATGCTGTGATATTAGTTTTGTTAAATTAGTTTTGGGTTCACGACCTTTTAGAATTCATAAAATACAGAAAACTTCTGTTAAAATTCACACAAATCACAATATTAAAAATTCTTAGAATAATAAGCTTGTTCCCACATCGCCTCGTAAGCATAACATAAGCGGGGGGATACTCTGGAAATTTTCTAAATTTGTTCCAATTATTTACATTCAGTATACCATCCATTTAATTTTGATTGTAAGTTTAGGTGAATTATTTCTGCTTCTCAAACTTTTTTTGCTAAATTGAGCTAATAAATTGATTAATAAGAGGAAAATAAATTCTTAGAATAATAAGCCTGTTCACACATCGTCTCATAAGCGGAAGAGATACTCTGGAAATTTTATAAAATTCTACCAGTTTTAGCTTGTTATTGTTTACATTCAGCTAACCATCCATAAAATTTAGATTGTAAGTTTAGGTGAATTATTTGTGCTTCTGAAACTTTTTTTGCTAAATTGAGCTAATAAATAGATTAAATAAGAGAATAGTGTTAAAATTACTTTCACATCGTATATATTATTTCTTTTTTAGTCTATTATGAGATCCTGATAATAGTATTTTCTTTACTAGCGGATCAATTAAAGATACTATAATTTTTTTAATCAGTACATTCTATGTATTACGTAATGTATGACATATGCAGGGATGAGATTCTTCCGCGGATTTCCGCTTTTTTCCAGATTTTTCCATTTTTCCCGCTAATTTCCGCTGAAATTTTTTTTGCCCAAGTTAAAATGTTTTATGAAGAATTTAATTTTCCGCGGAGGGAAATTGTTGAAGTCCCTTTTCCTCCGTCTGAAGTTTCTCTAAAAATCATTTCCTTGGGATAAAACTGGTTCACCTTTATACAGGGATGAGATTTTTTTTGTCTCTCGAATTTCAGCCTTTTTATCAAAAACTCCGATTCTCTAAAAGCTTCGTTTTTTTAAATAAATATCCCGTTTTTTTTTAAAATTCAGTCATTGAAGTAAAATAATTATATTTATTTACGATTTTCAAAGATAAACAGAAAATTCAATCTACGCCCTAGCTGCTAACCCTTCCGCATTTTTACTTATTTTAGCTATTTTCTCCGATTTCACGCACAGAAAATAAGATTTTCCGTATTTTTTATCCGTCGGCTGGATAGCTCGTATTTTCGTAATTCAGATCTCGATTTTTATTCACGCGATTTTAATATCAATCATCGATTTTCGTATTTACCTGATTTAAAAGTTGCACATTGCGATTCTTATTTACGCTATTTAAATATCGTATATTATGATTCTTATTTACGACATTTAAAAATCCAATATCGTGTTTTGTATTTATGCATTTTTAAAATCTCGATTTTATTATCAAATCTCGATTTTCGTATTTACCTGATTTAAAAGTTGAACGTTGCGATTCTTATTCAGGCGATTTAAATATTGTACAGTGCGATTCTTACTTACGAGATTTAAAAAATCAATATCGCGATTTGTATTTACGAGCTTTTAAAGCCCTATGTAGCAATTCGTATTCACGTGAGCTTAAAATCCAATATCGTGATTCGTTTTTGTGGTTGTAATATCGCGCGATTTAAAAATTATGCATCGTGATCAAAAAATTAAAAAATCATGATTTGTATTTTCGCATTTTTTAAATTCGATGTAGAGTTTCATATTTACGTGATTTAAAAGTCTCATATCGGGATTTATATTCACATGGTTTACAAGTTTTAAAATCGCACTTTTTTGTCAAATTTTTGTTTATATATATATATATATATTCTTTTTTTTTCTTTTCTTTTTTTTGTTTTTTGGATTTCCTCTTTTTTACTTTCTGACTACTCTCATCCCTGCATATGCTTATGACTTATATTTACGCATGTATTAATTAAATTTACTGTAACAGGGGTCTGTCCAGGTACCTTCACAAATTCAACTTTAGGAAAAACAGTAGTTTCACAAAATACTTTTGCTTAAAATTTTATTTTTGTATCCCTTAAGAGACGATAAATCTATATTTTAACCATGTCTTTGTATTGATTTTTTTAATATAATTTTTAATTTTTCACAAATTATGTCTAAATTTTCACAAAATAGGTACCTTTCACAAAAACGTAGACAGACTCCTGTATAATTTTTTTAAATTTCTCTATTAACTTCATTCTATGGGTTATGTAATGTGTGACTTATGTTTCATACTTATATTTACATGGGAATCAAATTTACTACTTTTTAAAAAAAATATTTTTCTATTCATTACATTCTATGTATTAAGCAATGTTTGACTAATATTTACATGTGAATAAGTTAAATTTACTATAATTTTTTTAATTACTCTGTTTATTACATTCTATGTATTACGTAATATGTGGCTTATGCGTGTGACTTATATTTACACGTGAATCAATTAAATTTAATTTCTCTATTCAATGCATTCTGCGGATGTATGACTTATGTGGTTGAAAAGTTTTTCATTATGTTTGTTATTAAGCACTTTTTGATTAAATTTTTTTAAGTAAAATTTTTTATTATTAGTTTATTTGCAGTTTTATTAAGTCTTTGAATTGTAGTCAAAATATATTAATAAGGTTAAGAATATTCTTTTTATAATAAGTTATATTTCTAGTGTCTGCTTAATTAAAATTGTAATTGGTAAACTTTTTAAGTAAAATTGATGTTATTGTATTACAACCCTGTGTCTATACATAAATTTTTTTTAACAGATTTAGATAAAATGAAAAACTTAGCTGGTATTAGATCTCCCTTAAAAAACTATCTTCATACCTTGATTCATTCTTGTAACTAGTTTCAACCCTTTCTTCGCCAACTCATTTTGATGAAATATGTTTATAAGTCACAGATTCTTTTAAAAATGTTTAATTTTTATAGAACTCTATTGATTCATATCACTGGAATGAGTTTGAAAGAAAAACTAAAAATAGAAATCCAAAAATGCAATCTGCTTAAACACTTTTTAAATGATTAAAAAAAAAAAGAACTTGAAATTTGAGCAATAAAAGATTGTATGTAGGAAGCATTTATCTGTAAATATATAATTTTTAATCTTGAACATGACTCATATGAAATGTGAATATGAAATCTCGTGCCTGAAAAATGTGATTTTTAATATAAAATCGTGAAAATAAGAAATACTATACACAATTTTAAATCGCTTTAATTAGGAATCGAGATGAGATTTTAAATCACATTTGCATTGGTAAGAAAAAGCGTAAATGTTTTTTTCTTTTAGGACTTAAAAAAAGACAAACTTTAATTGAAGAGGTGTTTTTTTTATGTTTCTTTTTTTAGTAATAGTTACAAAAAGTTCTGTCAGGGTTAGAAATTTTTCTGGAGCGCGCATCACACGATTGTGTATATTATACAGGTTAGTTTCTTAGTGTGATGTATTTAATTTATAAGTATTCAGATTGTATATAAATTAAATGATTTCTAAAATTGATAAATTTGTCTTCATGTTTTGTAAAAACTTTGCAAGAATATTTATGTGATTAAAGATTTTTGTTTGGATGTTCACATATTTTTTTGTGATTCATGTTTTTTTTCTTTTTTTTTCATCTACTCATAAGATCTGTGAGTTACTAAGAAATTAAATAATGATTAATGATAGTAAACATTATATTATATTAAAATGTTGTGAACTATAATTTATTGCTAATGCGTTTACATAGTTGCATTATCTATTATTTTTCTTTGTTTGTGATAAGATTACTGTTAAACTTTTTCGATTCTGTGTTATATGATTTGCATTTTTTTTATGCAACAATGTCCTTATTTATTTTGTGCAATACTTCATACTGTCTAATTATTTTGTTGTTTTTTAAGGGTCAGTGGCTTTGGTATTGTGAAAGTAATGTTATAACCTGGTTATTAAAATGATTGTGTTTATGCAATAATGTTAAAAAGCCTTGAAGTATATTTATAATATTTAAGTGACTATTTATAACAAAATTCTCCAGTGTTTAATATTTTTAAATGTATATAATTAATAATATCTTATAAAAGTAAATTCTATGTTTACAAATTTCTTTATATTTGGAAGACTTAAAGAGTATTTAAATCTTGATATTTGTTTAATAATTCATGTGGTTTTATTATTATTATTAATGATTGTCTTTGATTATTTAAGAATCTTTAATGTTTTGAATGTGAGCTTTTATCTGCACTGTCTCATTTGATTTTTATTATACTTCAATAATTCAGTATGAATTAAAATGTATTTAATTTTTTAGTTTATGCCTATAGTTATAAAAATGAATGTACACTGAAAAAAGAACTTCGCAATTTCTTAAAGAAATGATAAAAATCTTTTATATATTTTTTAAAAAAATGGGTAAAAGGCTAAGTTTATCATGTTTACTACTATTTGCTGTTGCTGTAATTTTAATAAATCTTTACTTTTACCTATTTTACCAAGACTTAGTTTTACATATGCAGTGAACAATTCATATATATGCCTTTCACATTTAGGAATTTGTTTTTTATTGCTTGCCTTATTATTAAAATTTGTTTTTAATATTATTTACATGAATTATGAATATTTATTATGTTTATTTTCTTATAATCGAAGTGAACATCAAAACTGTAACGTCAAAAAACATAGAAATTACTCTGTAATCTTAGTTTAATGTTAAATTTAGAAAGCATTACAATAACTAATTGTTGCTTACTGAAACTATCTTTAGGTTTTATGTTTATTATTTTTATTTTATAAAGTTTTCATTTTTAGATTCTTTATAGTATTTATAATTTTTAAATATTATGTTTTATCTTTTTTATATTTTTATTGAATTTTGTGGTTATAATTAGGATTTAAACTAGTATTAGCTGTAGTATTTAATTATTAAGTATTTAATTGTTAAGTATTAGAAAAATTTTATTAAATTTTGCTGTTTTTTTATGATTTTTACAAGTATACTAGTGATAGTTTTGTTTAATTATGTGCTATTTTATATTTGTACTGGCTATTTTTTTTTCAATTTCTCTTTAATTACATCTGTACTTTTTCAGATAAAATTATAAATATCAATCAAAATTCTCAAAAGAATCAAAAGTATATTTGTTTCGATTGTTCCTATTCTACAAATGATGCTGTGGAAATAAGTAAACACGTTGAAAAACATTCAGGTAATATAGAATTCATTTCATCTTGTGTTTTTTGAAATACTGTTTCCATTATTTATTTATTGTTTAATAAATTTTGTTTTTAAGTAAAATCAGGGGTTTGTCCAGGCCGAATTTACTACCGTTTAGCGGTGCCTACCCAAATTCAACTTTAGGAAAAAGGGTAGTTTCATAAAATACTTTTTCTTGAAATTTTATTTTTGTATCCCTTAAGAAACGATAAATCCATATTTTTGTGTTGATTTTTTAATATAATTTTTAATTTTTCACTAATTCTGTCTAAATTTTCACAAAAATCTCAGAAAAACCTAGACCTCTCTTAGTACCTCTCAGAAAAAAAATAGACAGGCCCCTGAAAATTTTATCCCTTTTTAGGGAACCATATATTTTCTACGTAATCACATAATTTGATGGCAAATTTGTTGTAAACTAAAATAAAACTAACAATCTTCCATATGGTTTTAAAATTCTTGATATCTTAAATATTATTGTGACAGGAGTTCCAAAATACACTTTTGATTTATCCAATTTTATGGGCTAGGTTTGCACAAATTCAATAGGAGGTCTATATGTTTTTTTTTTTTTTTTTGTAATTATCTTTGAGAACTTCCCTGAAGTTGTATATTTTTAGTTCAATGTCATTAAGTTTAAGATGTCAAATTTTGACTTCTAACCATTTGTTGGTTTTTCCTTGATATAATTACATCTTGATGCACTTGTGAGGATTTAATCTTCTATCCAAGTATTTTTTTTCAGTTACCCATTTTGCTATATTTTGTAATAAATGATGATATTGCTATACTTCAGTTACTCATTGATACAGGGGTGTTTGTGCTCCGGGGAAACCCCGGAATTCCGGGGATTTTGAACTTTGATACCCGGAAATTCCGGGGATCGTCGTTCAAAAGGAAGTAGGAATAATAATTAATAATTTATTTTGATCTGGGTAATTTTGTTTGCTTTAAAAGCTACAGGGCTTCAAGTGCTGCGAATTTTGCGTAAAACCAGGATATTTGCGCATTACTGCGCAAAAACGGCATTTTATGTTAAATTTGCGTCGAATCTGCGCCAAAGATTTTTCGGGGACCAACGAAACATTGCCAAATTTCAATAGCATGTGGGGAGAGGAGTATTAGACCATGTCAACCGTCATCTATGAAAAGGTACCCCGACATAGAGTCGAGTTAACATGTCTTAGATACTAGTGAATTGTAGTTGTAATTTTGTAGTGGTAGATACGCTACAAGCATAAGAAATTTTCTCTTGTTGATTTCATCGTTATTGAAGTGCCATCGTCTTCGTCAATGGCAAGCTAATGGCCTTCTTGCGCTATTCTATTTATAGATTAGTACCATGATCTTTGAATTAACTAGGGGACCATCCACTAAGTACATATTTATTTTCGTGTTGATCCTCAGAACAGTCAAGAATCACAAAGCTTCAAACTTTCCATTTCCCTTTTATTCATTTTATTTAATACAGATAAGAATTAATTGAGTTTCATAACGTAAATTTTTTATCTAAGGGACCATCCACTAATTGCATATTGTTTTTAAACAATTATTTTACTTTATTACTTTTTTTTACTAATATTTTTTTTTACTTATTGCATTTTATTGTTGTATTATTACCTTCAAAATTTTCAGTGCTCTTATTTTATTTTAGGAAATAACTTAATAGTATTTAGAGACAAGATTTTAAATAAGTATGAAGAGTTCAATATTTTAAATGCAGCAAAAAATCTTATGTTTTTAAGATTTTTCATTCAAAAATACTTTAATTTATTTTTTAATGATTTGATTTAAAGCAATTGATGTAAAAAATTTTAATTGTCACAGATTTGTTAAATATTATGAGTGTAGAGACAATATAATAATTTACTTCTGACAAATTTTTTTTAGCTTCAATACTCATTGTATTTACCACAAAAGAAAGACAAGCCCACAAACATCAGAAAATAAAAAAAAAAGCAGCAGAAATTAGATAATTTTTTTTAAGAATTAATTCAGGTAATTTAAAATATTTACATAAAATGTAGTAGTTTATATGTTTGAAAATTTATGGTTATTAATTTTGCAAAAAAAGTAATTCATTGAACTTTTATAATTAGGTCATTCAATACTTCATAATTGTAATTTTTCATTCCCTCCCTTCTCGAAACTCCAAAATGTCGGTAGTAAGTTCGTAAAATTTTCAGGGGATTTTTTGGGGTCCCACAAACACCCCTGTTGATAAAATATGTTAACATTTGCTTAATATTATTGAAAAATAATATTATAATTTATTTCTAACTAAAAAGTTTATATTTGATATTTAAATATTACAAACTATTCACTGAAAAAATAAAATCAGTTTTAATCGCAGCTCAATACTGTCATGAATTTGTAAGATAAAGACAAAAGTTGTCATTTCAATATCAAATTAAGAATAAGTTAATTTAGGTTAGGAAACGTTCTTCATTGCTTACATTTAAATAAACATGAAACTAAATAAGTATGATTGAAATAAATTTATTAAATTGTTAATATTTAATAGTTAATAATAATATTTAATAGTATTAAATAGTTCACTTACAGTTATAGTTTAAAAGTTTCATATCACTTTAATTCAAACTTAGTACCTTTTTTTCCAGTCCATTTCGAACATCAAATAATAATTTGCATAAAATCTACCTGTGAGATCAGTTAAAACTATAAAAATATTTGTATCCTTATTTACAAATTAACTTAATTAATAATAATACTAGCAAAAATTTACTTGAATCAGTTTATTTTATTTAATATATTTATGTATATATATTTTATTTTTTAGCAATATAGACACATTATAAAGAGTAATCTTTATCTCAGGATAATTATTCTTTATTTTGAAATACCGCTTTTACCATCGTAAAGCACTGCCTTCTGAAGAAAACCTTTATGTTTCCTATTAAAAAAATTAAAAAATTTCTTTTTCATTTTAAAATTCTCTTTTGTGTGTGTGTATCGATGTGTTTATATGTATGTATGTATATATATACACACAGTGAAACCTCCTGTTATGGACACTCCTGCAAAACGGACGCCTCTCAATACGGAGATATTTTTAATTCCCCGGGAATCTTCTATGAATAAACCATTACGTACATTCTCCGCAAAGCGGATACTCCCGTAACCGGACGCGGACAGTCATTTTGATCCTGAAACGTTGTTTTTTATCTCTACAAACCGGACACTACTTTTTCTAAATAAATTGCAAGATAAAAAAATGCGACTTTTCACCATTTTCAAAGCATGTAAATAAAACTTTTTGCCTTATCCATAACTAAAAATATTGTTAAGCTATTTCACCACCGAAAAATCAATCTTTCTCCTGTCACCTTGCCTTATCTTTGTAAAGAAAGGAGAGAAAATGGTACTGCACTCC